CCCCTCAGGGATGGTCTGATCAAAAATGACAATTTTTTCGACAACTCAGCCATTTCTTGACGGATCCTTCTCATCTTCGAACTCGACCTAGATATTGATAAGACAATTCTGTGCACAAAATTTCAGCTCAATCGAATGTAATTGTGAAGAGTTATCGAATAAACGGACGGACGGACACACTGACCGATTCTATAGTGTACTCTTTTTTTTTGAGTACACAAAAAATGAAACATAATTACCGACAGATTGATTTTGATCAAACTGTTTGAAAGAATCGACCAGCAGTGTCAGTATGCATAAGTTTTTCATAGTTTTTTGGAAGTGCAAGATTGAGGAAACGTCAAATGCACCATATTCACCTCTATAATATATCATCATTTAGAGCTCTTGACAAGTTCTATCTACTTCATAAAAACAACGTTAGTTCTATGGGAAATAAACACATATTATACAGACAAAGTGTCGGTATACGCGAATTTTTCATAGTTTTTTGACACTGAGGTATTGAGGAAATTTCAAACGCAGCATGTTTATCCCTATAATTTAGCATCATTTTGTAGCCCGTGAAATTCTCTATCGAATGGTATATAATAGTTGAGTTTTCATTTTTACTATGACAAAGATTTTGATTTGTGAAAATTGGAATAGGTTAATATTTGCATAGAAAATAATGATATTTCTTGCTGTAACTCAGTAAATCCTCGACGAATTATTTTCATCTTCGAACTCGACCGAGATATTGATGAGATAATGCTGTCTACAAAATTTCATGACAATCTGATCAGCCTTTCCGGAGTTATCGTGTAAACGGCCGGCCGGCCGGCCGGACACACTGACCGATTCTAGTGTACTCATTTTTTTTTGAGTACACAAAAAGAATATATTTTCAAATAATATATATATATATATAGCTTCTTTTATTTTCTCTTAATAATATTTCTTCTATTATTTGACTAGTAAATTTAAGAATATGTTCGTTATCAATTCCATGATCTTTTACATTCGAATGAATTTCATCTGATATTCATGTCGTATTTTTATATTTCAGGGATCTATTCATTTTAAAATTAAAATAAATTTAATAATCACACGAGTTGCTAATAGAGTAAGTAAATAAACAACGAATTTAACATTCCATTTAATGTGCTTCTCTTCCATGATTTTATTTTTAAAACGCGATCATTTAATTATTCATTCGCTCAATTAAATTCTATAGAATCATTTCTTACACCATTTGGATCACCACTAAAACTTCTCCTTTATAAATAGAACTCAAATATTTGTGATTATTTTCCTGATTAATATCAAATAAAGACGTAAAATAGTTCTTAAATAAAGCAACTATGTAGGATTCTTGATTAAGATCACTTACAGCTGTACGTTTATAAAGATCTTTCCATTTCAAATAGAAACTTCTTTCAGAAGAAAATGAATATACTTTCATTATTGAATTAACTCTTCTTCTGTCTTCATAAATTTGTGAATCGCACAGCATTTGAATTGATCATGAAAGAGCTGGTGATGGAAAGAATTCATAAACTCTTCTTTATGTTTGATTCCTATCAACTATTGCACTTTCCTCAGCGATCTAGATGAAATAAGCCTATCGTTTTTTTTTTCTAAATAAAAAATCTCTTCAAATAAGAGAACAAACTTCAACTCGAAATTCTTATTCTCTTTTAGCAACTTGTTCAGTATTAGCTGGAACATGAATTGCTCATAATCTTTCTTCAGAAATTGTTAAATTAATTTGTTTTTTCTCGATTATGATGAGGAAACTGAAAAACAGAAGAAATCTTTTCATGAAATTCAATGAATCTTTAACAAGATTTGAACACCAGTCATTGGATGGAGAATAATCTCTTGATTATGTATGGAAACATACCTTATGTTCTTTAATATCATCAGAAAATAAAACTTTTTGATAGGCTCAATTAAACATTGTTGATAAACGTTGGTCATGCTCAAGACTTGTTTCTCTTAACGTTATATTCAATAAATATTCAGTACGAATAAAATATATAAATATTTAGTTCACTTTCGTTTATTCTAGATTTCGTTCCTGAACATTCATCTCCATGCAAATATCGACATTAAAAACAATTCTTTACATAAAACTACGTCAATGATAATTGACAGAAAACAATTCGAAAATAAGTAAACACCTTTAAGAAATGAAAGGTTCAATTTTTAAAATGATTTTGCATCAAAAAGAATTATTTTTTTTTACTTTTCCGGAACTTGTCAAAAGAAATAAAAATATTTTCTTATCTTTAAGTAAATAGTTGTTTTTTATTCATTGAATTGTTAATATTAACAAATATTTTAATTAGTCGTGAATCAATATGAAGAATCATTATTTAAACATGAATTTAACAAATCGATAATAAGTACTTGACATATAAACTGAATTGAAATTGAAATCAATAATTCTTACTCAATATTTCACTATTGATTGTTGTGAATTCTTCAAAATTTGAATGATAAAAAGAGAAATGTTCAATCGAAGATAAAATTTTGTCTTATTGCTCGTCAAAAATCGTTCACATTAAAAATGAGAAATCAAAAAAGAAGATTTTTCATTCGCAAAAGAACATTTATTTCTCAAAAACAAGCATCAATCAAATACAAGGCATTTCGAATGATTATTATTATTTTGATCTTCAAGTAAAATCATTCTCGAAATGTTCGACAATCAATTCAACATTTGATGATAAATGAAGAAAACAAGATTTTTGTTTTTGGAAATAAATAAAAGAGATTTACATTAATTATTTGAAGGATATTCAAAGAGATAGTATACGAATGAAATTCAACTGACTCTGCTATAACGACACATATATCCTTTTTTTCTTCTCAATGTCATTTTTTTCAAAAATGAACACAATATAGGGGTCATTTACACTTGACGAATTAAAATTGAATTAAGAAATATGATTGGTGTTCCTATGTGGAAATATCAATCATATTTCTTATTTCAACTTTAATTCGTCTAGTGTGAATGGGCTCATAGATTGACTATAATCGAGTTGGACGGTATATCAATGTTTCACCTTTCTCAATAAGTTGACCTATTCGATTTAACAATAGCGCAAAAGTGGCGAAATGTAAACAATGAACATATGTATGTATTTATGCTTCGTCTTAGCCAAAAAGCATCACAATCATTAAAAGAAAATATGAACCGATCAAATGTTCATCTTTTCGATTTACCTGATGAAATATTACTTATTATTTTGAACAAATTGAACAATATTGATGTACTTTATTCTTTATTGGATATTAATAACGGACGACTTAACGTTCTTGCACAAGAAAACACTTTCACCAACATTCTGAAGTTTGTCTCCATTGATGATACTTCTCTAATCAATCGTTTTTGCATCGATATATTACAAAGAATTCATCGTAATGTCAAATGTTTTATCTTTGATCCAATTTTTATGGAACCCATTCTTCTTACCACCGACTATCCCAATCTAATTGAACTTGAAATTCATAATTTTCATGAAGAAATTGCTTTAAATTACTTTACAAGTGAGCGTTTAATATGAGACAAATAATAAATGAGTGTTACAACGAATAGATTACAGTTTGTTTCATTTCATTGTTTTTTCGTTTAGATAAATCATCACTTCGATCTATTTTCCAAGAACAAATTACAAATCTTATTCTTATCAATAATGATGAATGCGCAAGGGCATGTTCATTAGATTATACTGCAGAGATATATGCGCATATTTTGACCTTCTTCAAAAATTTAAAAATTCTACGTATCATAGAACCAAGTGTTGTGTCATATCCACCTCTATCACTTTGTTATTTCCCATCAACTACTTTTTCATCCTCGATTCTTACTCATTTATATATCAATGTGCAAACTTTTGATGATTGTCTTTGCTTGCTTGATGGTCGACTTAAACAATTGACAACATTGTTTGTTACTGTCTGTTGCGCATTCAATTATTCACGCACTATTCACAATATGGTAAGTTTATACAAATAATTTAATGAGATAAGAATAGTTACTATTTTAACGCAGTTTGAAGTTTTGTCAAAAGATTTAATAAGAGATCAGATGGCTAAATTTCATGTTGATAAAGTGATCAAAGAAAATTTCTAGAATTTATAATTAAATAGGATTGTTGAGGGTAAGTTTCATATTAAAAACTGGACTCACTGTTTCATCCTTGATTAAATATTATCCGTTGTGAATAATCTTCAGCACTGAATGGAACAAAACTTTTCGAATAATTGAGATATGAATGCAATTTTATCTGCTACATTTCTATTGTTGTTTCAACACCTCACTTTTCATCCTCTAAAGTTAGAATATCCAGCTGAGAAATTTGCCATTTGCGGCCATTAATAGATAGAATATAGCACAAACACTCAGTGTAAATGATGATAGATATGACTTAATCATGTTGATCATCAATAAAAAAAAAATTTTTCTTTTGTAGAATAAACTACCTAATCTTAAGTGTTTCTCATTACAAATCTTCTATGAATTTCAACCTTATGATAGAATTGCATCACTTTTGCGCCGTATGTCAAATTTGGAAAAATTAACTTTAAACATTTCTATAAAAGATCGAAATAGTGTCATTGATGGTACTTATATTCAACATGATATTCTTGATTGTATGCCACAACTCCATTCATTCACTTTCTATATTTGTACTTATGTTGAAACGGTTGATTTATCCTACAAGCTATCTAGTGAAGATATTCAACAAACATTAATGAATATTGGATTACAAGATGTTACTAGTATTGTCAATTATGATTGTGATTCAAGAGTTGCATGTTCGATTTTCTCACTTCCTTTTCAATTTCGTTATCTCAAAGATCTTGGCAATAAATTTCCAAATATTGTATTCAGTTATGTTACGTATTTGCATGTGAAAGATAATGATCCATTCAGACATGAATTCTTTGTTCGAATTGCTAAATCGTTTCCATTACTGAAATATTTACGCATTTATAATGTACGATCATCGTTACCAGTTGATCTTATGACATTTACATCTGACAATTGTCAATTATACTCAACTATTGAATATTCGCATCTAACTACACTTGATCTAAGTTGTGCACATAGAGAATATGTTGAACAATTTCTAAATGAAACAAAGATATATATGCCTTGTCTGATGGACTTATTGGTCAAGTTAGATGACTTGATAGTTGTAACGAAGAACTTTACAAGAAACGAAACACGACGCAATTGTACCAAAGTGAATACATTATTTATCCTACCACTAAGGCTAGATGTAGAAGGTTTACGTGATTACTTTCCTTCGTTATATAAGTAGAAGTATTTTTGTTATGATGAATCGAATAAACTGAAACATGATAAATATTGTATTTATAGGCTAATGGTATTTTTCAAATGTTAAGAAATATCAACTATTAATGATTGATTCTCATTTTAGAAAGAAAAATCACACAGCACCACATGATGCTGAAGAGTTATATGTAGAATGAAAAATGTTCCTTTCGCAATTAGGGATGGTACTTTCATTTTCCTTTCTTGCATATGACATTACTAAAGAACGTATTGATAATGATAATTGTAGTTATAAATGAAAAGCTGAAATTTTCAGAAATAGAAGATCTTCATTAGATATCTATGTAATAAAAATTTCGTCTGTATATTTCAAGAAAAAAACATGAGAATGATGAATAACAATTTATGTACGGTTGTTATGAAACGTACTTTGTGTGTTGATAAACGAAAAAACATATGAAATGATTAATTTGTTTCGTTTTATTTAAACTCATATTCGTATTGAATTAAAATAAGTTGCTTTTTTTCAAAGAAAAAACCGAATAAATAATATTATTATCTAAATTTAAATTTAAAAAAAATTATATTTAACTGAAAATATTTGTATAATAATATTAGTTTTTCTATTATTCTTAATTAGATTCATCATTCAAAATTGCTTTAAAAAATAACTGATTTTGTTTAATATTCTAAATAGACAAACTTTTCAGAGAAAAGAAGAAGCTTAGAGGTACATAACAAAAAAAGGGTTTTCGTGTTTTTCCAGATCAAGATCGAGATAAGTAACTGGAATTTTGATTAGACATTTCGAATATGATAAAGGCAACTATTTTTCTTTTATTTATTGGTTCATGCTTTTTGAAAGGGAGATGAAATAAATGATTATACTCGAATAAGACTTTAAAAAGAAATTTCTAATTATGAATTTATTTATTCCTGTAATCAAATAATTATTTCTTGTCAAATATTAACACAATTAAATTTTTTGTAGGAAAATTTCTATGATACATGATACGACGTGTCCCGTTGCTTATAACAAGATGATGAAATCTGTACGTACTAAGAGAATGTTGTCTTTCATTAATCTCATGAAATTTATCATTCGATTTTTTAATGTACAATTGTTTGAAACGTTAATTTGATTGTTTCTAGAAGTGTTTTCTAAGTTCAAATGACTTTCGTTCGAGTAGAGTCATTCGTGACATTGAAAACAATGAAAGTTCAGAGAGTTTATGCAGGTTTTTATTTAAAAAATACATAAACAATTTAATCTTTGGTATTTTAAAAAAGTTTTCATTGCTTTCATGTATGAAAGTAAGGTTTGGTCAAAATAAAAATAATCTCTTTTCTATATTAATTTAAGAAAAAAACAATCTTAATTAAAATGATATTATTATTAGTTTTCAAATAAGAATATATTTTAAATAATAAAAAACATAGCAAATGAATATTTAGTAAATATTTAATAAAGTAAGATTTTTTTTATTCTCGAAATGAAATTTATGTTGGAATGGAAATTAAATTTTTTTCTGATTTTTCCAGAAATGTTTTTTGATTTTCCGGGATCATTGAAAATATACTCTTTGTATGATCGTGAGGGTGTGGGCGTGGGTATGAGCAACATACGATCAAATGGAGCCACACTCACACCCTCAAGAAAAACATAAAATGCTTAGATTTACGACGTGAAAGATTATGTTTTGTCTTTGTCACTCGAGATCACTGTGTCAGCAACCGCTGCATCAATTATACGTGTGCCAATAATTAATTCTTCCTCAATTTTTTTTCTTGATTCATATTAAGATTTTCGTCCTCCTCACCCCAAGTTTCACTTCCTTGAGGGTGTAGGTTTGAGTGTGAGAATTAGTATTCCTTATAACATCCACACCCTCTCGTTTTCGAGTCACTCGAAGCCATTGAACATCTGAACTAAATATGAATTGTTCTTCTACTGTGAAAGCTACGTTTTCATTTGCTAGTAAAATAAGATTTACAATTCATATTATCAGTGGAAATAAACATTTTATATTTAAATTATACTGTGATTTTCATGCCTTTAACTTCGATTTCGATGTTCTTGTAAGCGCCAAATTCTATATGAGCGGTGTACTTTGTATTTCTGGCTGATAAATAGTTGACTTTTATCAAAAGTTATATTATAGATATTTATCGAAAACTTTCCACCTATTTGATGATGCAATCTGAAAATTCTGAATTTTCCACAGTATTCCCTCACTTGTTCATTTGAGAAATTTTAATTAATCTTTAAACGGTAAACATTCAAAGAAAAATTACAAAAAAGAATTAAATGTATGCTAGACAACATTTTATTTACTAAGTTAATTCAATGAAAGAGAGATACATACTTTTTTGGATGATTTTTAACAAATTTGAACTGATTTTAGTCTTATGAACTGCTATAATATTAGACTTGTGTACGTTGGAGTACTGGATACGGTTTTTGCGACGTGTCTATTTTCCCCAAGTAGTCGAAATCGAAACAGAACAAACAAACAATATATATTTCACATTCTCGAGGGTTCGCCACACTGATCGCATGTGTTTTGATGTTTGCTTGGGAGATTTTTGTGTCGAACTCGAATCCAGCCCGACCTGAAACCATTTAATTGGATTCCGACCTTGGACCGCATTAGTTATGGTACTCTACAACAGACCTAGATCCATGTATTACTAAACACGCAATATGAATCAACAAGGAAGGGCAACTTTCTGTTCATGTTTATGTCTGTTATTTTTATCGTATAGATATCAAAAAGTAAAGCAATACACTTAATATTTACAAGTAAAAATTAACATTTCAGATTGCCCAGTTTTCTCGTTCATATATGCTCACGAATATTCATCACATTCTTCTAAATGAATTTCAGTCACCTGTGAAACATTTTGAAGAAATGAAAGTTTAACGTTTGTGTCGATTTTTTTCACTTTAAATACTGAATATGGCATGATAAGAATTTCACCTTCATGTGCATATTGAGATATGTTTTCAATATGTAATGCAGTACGATGATGTTTGATGTGATATTTACATACCACCCATGACTTAATTTGCTGTCCATCAATAGTTTGCCGTTGAGTCGCTTCAATTGGTAATCTTCTAGATTCTTGTCTCCACGATAATAATTCAATGATATTTCGATCAATCGATGATGATACGAATGATTTTGTCATTGTCAAATTACCAACTTGATATCTTTTTAAATCATGATTACTGATATGCATGACCCGATAAGAATTGCCAATAAACGTATATTGTTCCAAACTATCATGATGTGATATCAATGCTATAATATATCTTCGTTCGTTTTGACATATACTAGAACCACATGCTATTTCCGTATTCAAAACTCTATAGTAATCTGTTTCAGCCGTATAAGCCGTGATGAGCCATTTGGGATCTTTTTCTTCTATTGCTTTTTGAAAAAAACGTCTAATAATTTCAATACCACCAATTGTATTTAATATTTTATTGACATAATTTTTCTCAATTCTTTGAAACATTACATCAATAGATGAAGCCTTTACTTTTTCTTCATACAAATATTTAATCATATTTCGTTCTTCTTTTGCTTTTTCTACAGCTTCTTCATCAATCAATGTCCACTCAATTGCACCAGTTTGAACAACAAGTCGATTGCTATTCGGTATACGAAGAAAAAGTTCTTTGATGTCGTCATTTTTAGCTTCGTCAAATGGGATACATTGATGTCGATTTTGTACGGCTCTATCAGCTCCCTTTTTTAGTAATAATTCGACGATATGATAATGACCATAAAAGCATGCAGCATGCAATGCTGTACTACCGTTTGGTTCCAATCGATCAACTTCATCAGGTGTCATAGTTTCAAGCAATTCTTTAACTTTTCCTTGGTCGTTATCACGACATGCTATATAAAAGTCACTACACTTGAGTGGCGAAGTCGTCGTTGTTGTTGATGACGTTGGTTTTAATGACTCTGCAACTGTTTTAGAATTCTGTGTGGAGTCATTAATTATCGTTGGTATTTCTTCAGAAACACGTTCTGCATGATCTGGTTGCGACGACACATCACTTTGACTTTTATTGCGCCGATAAAACACATAGGCGTTTAACGTTTTTAGCCACTGCGGAGTTTCCACATTTGCAAATATATTACCCATATGCTTATAAAGAACAATTTAATATGTAGATTTTATCCTAAATATAAACGATATTTAGAAATCTTGGAGTCGACTCACATTCGAAATTATTTTATTGAGAGAAAATAACTTTACCGACTGTTTTACAATTGACTTTTAATTAATTATGTAAATGTATAATATTTTTAGTTTTCCTTTGACTTTTCAGCAATCAAACATATCTTCATCATGCTTTGATAGCTCAATGACTAAAGTAAAGCCTTTGTGAACCAGCACTTCAGTCGTTGGATTGAATTTCCAATAGAAGTACGTCGTTTATTTTCTGTTCGTTCGCTGCAGAGTCAAAAGGAAGTGAAAGATTATTTAAATTTATATATACTCTTTTCTATTCTTCGAAATAGACGTTTACAAGTGATGACGGCGATCTATGTGGTAATAAAAACTTCTATTTAAAACATCTATACTTAATATATTCACGACATGCAGTGAGTGATAAACAAAAAACAATGAAAAGGGTATGTTCGTTGAAGTTATCAAATGCTATGTATGAGTCTTTATCTTAGTACTGATAAAGTGAAGCACATATGTTTGTCGCCTGCTATCATTTTATTTCAACAATGAAGATTGACTTTACGAAAGCAAAAGAAAATTATATAAATCTTACAGAGAGATTTCTTTTTCGACAATTGTAATTTTACAATTGAGGATGTGGGTGTGGGTGTCTGGGGTTTGGCTGCGCATCAAGAGATATAATTAAGGCACACCCGCACCCTTCTTCATAAAAACTTGAATTCTAAATATTGCAATTAATCTTAGTACACAATCCTGATCATCGAAAATCTCTGTAGATTGCATGATTACCGGATTTGATGAATTCCTAAAATATAAATTAATCTAATCAAAATATTTTTTCATTAGAAGATGCTAATGTTAAATGTGAAAGAAAGTATCACATAGATAGCTAATTTGAATAGATAGTAGCAAATGCTCGTCTTATTTGTTTTAATAATCGTTAGTGTATTCTAAAAACGTCACTCAAGTACTATCAGTTAACAAAATTATTTAGAGTTGCATTAAAATCGCTCGTCTACATTTCAAACAACGACACGAACGCAGGACATCGTCCGTATAATTTGCAAGTTCTACTCTTTAAGACACTATATTTATATTTCTGTCAGTATAATTGTATCACAGAAGTTTTTGTGTTATTAATCTGTTTTCCATGTCAGAAATTCAGTGAACATTTTGTGCAGCATAGTGTAAGATATTATAGAATCTCCGTATTGTACATATTCTTGACTTGGGAATTATCCAACTGATTAGATGAGCAAAGAAATTTAAAAGTTCGCGACTTTTTTGTTCAGCCACGATTAATTTGTTCCAATTTTAACCGAATGTCTATATGTTTGTTTATTTATGAGGTGACGATTGTTCGTTAGAATTTTATCAAGAATGATTCAGACTCATCTTTGAAGTGAGTTCTTTCTTTTTTCTTCAGTCGGATGAATCAACTGAAACTTATAACTGATGAAATAAAATGGTTTGCCAGAGCGATGCACTGCAAAACATTATGGCTTTCCTATTCCAATTTGATTATTTACTCTGTCAACAAAAGTGTACTTATGAAGTCATCCTCGATCCGAGAAATCATGGATAACTGAAATTAAAGAGTTTATTACGGGATGGTAACGTGGATACATCTCCTCAGATCTATAGTATATCTCAATTGCATGCTCTGTAAAAAATATCTCTCATTTCATAATTCACACAGTCAAACACCTCGATCTTTCTGCTAATAAAGTCGGAGATATTGGGGCACAACGCATCGCAGATGGCCTAAAAGAAAATAAAGTAAGTATTTTTTCTAGTAAATTTCCTCAATACAGATCCTCGCTATGTGGCATACACTCTAGTAATGGTGTGAATGTGAGTGTGGGCATGTGCCTGAGACTAGCATACGCCAGTATGAGAAAAAAGGAGATCCACACTCCATCAGCATCCCACAGCCACAGTTAAACTCGCAAGTTTCAATTATTCATATGAATGTTGTGATATATCTGAGCGCTTATTACACACATTGTCTTCGCGAGCATTATTCTCAATCTGCTTGTAGGATTAGGCACTTTTTTATTCTTTTTTAACTTGTCTTCACGGACAAAACTTTTGTTTGCATAAAAAAAGCAGAAGAAGATAAATATGAATGTAATCTTTTCAATGTTTTTCAAATTTTAATTGTCGAATAAATCACTGCTGTTGAACCATCGGTATAGTTACAGTTACAGGTCCAACGGGAGTCCTCCGATATAGTTGTCGTGGCAGTACAGCGATAATTTTGTTTTTAATAGTTTTGCGCAATTCTGGAAACTGGCATAAAGATGCAAATGGAAAGAGAAAAATAGCAAAATAACCCAGAAAAAAGAAATAAAGTTGAAGTTGAGCACCGTATTCTTGTGGTAGACCACATAGATGAGCAAAAGCAATAAGGTAGAACGGAAGATTCAGACTAAGATCCACACTTGAAACCAAGAATAATTGAATGATCATTCGCCGGTATTTATGCCATTGAGTAGACTGATGAATACGCCGTTTTTGTCTTTGAACGCGCACAATAAGTCCTATGCTAACAATACTCTCCAAGACAATTGATATACTACTATTGACAATGAATTCCCACTCGCCGAGAATACCATATGATTGATAACATGGAGATGCACCGCATACTGACAATGTATAAACATAGGTACTTTCGCAAGGTAGAAGAAAAACGCAGATAATATAGAAAAGCAGAATATAGGTAACTAGAATACCCAAAGGAAGGTAATGGGAAAGGAAGCGTCTTTTTTATTTGAAACCAAAAAATCATGAAATATCAAAATGTGTCGTTCGATAGCCAACCAAGCCATCAGTATGAGGCCTCCAATAAAACAACCATAATCAGCAAACCACCATAGGAGACACACAATTGGTTTCGATGGTGAAACATAACCATAATGAAAGAACACGAGATAAAAATTGATATCTACTAGTTGAATAGGCAAATAGATGATAAGTATAAGGAGAATAGTATGATTTTGCAATGCATATCGCTGGACTCGATCCATTATAATATGAATAATGATGGAAAAACTACAAATGACTGATGGAATGTTGAATATAACCAGAAGCCAAAAACGAATAGGACGAGGCAGAGACATTTCCGAGTTGGAAAATACAGCAGTATTACTATTGGAACTGTTGTTTGCAGTCATTATTGAAAGTGAACAAATATTTCAATGTAAACGACGTGTATGTGACAAATGTTTTACGAGAAAAACAGAAAGAAGAGCGATGTGAGAGGCAACAACACGTTTCATCTACTTTCCACAAGAATAGAAGTGTGTCATTTTGAATTATAAAATTAATCTGACAGCAATAGAGAATATTCAAAGGTGGATTGAAAATCAAGATTACAAATAACACCGACAAACCATTTCAGTGAATTTCCATGGTGTTTTTTTGTCAGTTAGATAAATGATGGTCACATCCGCTAATCGAATATTTAATTAAGAATTAGCATGAACAAAAGCAACAATGCCTATACCGGGCGTGCGAAAACATTTGCAACATCTTTATTTCATATATATCTCCGCTTCAGAAAATCATAAAATCTTGATTTTTTAAAATATGCACCGTGAAAGGCTCTACAACAACTGCACAAACCAGGCCCTTTTGACTTGTTCAGATAGTTTTTCGCATACTCAAAATGGAAAAGCTGCTTGATAGTGCTGCTTTATGAAACACGATCTGAAAGCAGTGTTGAAGTATATACGGTAGAAATTTGGACCCCCCCCCCACAGACCGCTACAGAGAAATTAACTAATCAGCTAATTGGTTAATTTATTAATTTATTAATTTATTAATTATTAGATTTCTCTGTAAAGGTCTGTGACGGTTTCTCAATTCTCCGTAACGGTCTGTGGTAGTTTCTGAGGACTCTGTAACGGGCTGTGATGGTTTCTAGAGACTACATACATCATAATACAGACCGTAATAGAGAAGCTCCACCGACCACCAATGACAGTAATAGACGAATTCCAGAAAAGAAGTTTCATCGTGTTTCACGCTTTTAATCCCAAAGGGACTGGGCTAACAGCTTTTCATCGTATGAAACAAAATAAAATTGTTAGCAAGGCTTTCATTTTCAATATATCTCGGTTTGAAAAAATGATGACATTTTGACTTTTGTTTTAAAGTAAGCACTGTTGAGGCTTTTACAAAAATCTGTAATGACAAATCTCTATTGAAAAACAAAACAGTATTCCAAACATTTTTATTCTGTTCAATACGGTAGGAAGTGGAATTATCAAGTAGCTTTTTTATTTTAAAAATAGGAAAACAATCAGAAGAATTCAATGGAAATTTATTTATACAGTTTACACGGAGCCTTTTATGGGACATCTTCTATTGAAAAATCAAGATTCTATCATTTTCTCAAACTGAAATGTAACAGTGCGAAATAAAAATGATATAAACATTTTTGGCATGCCAGCTATTTTTCTAACGCTCAGTAGAACATGAGTGATATTTATTTATCATGCTGCAGGTGTCAATCTGTCATTCCTAATAACTACAGTATAATTACTGATGACGAATAAACATAGGAAACAGTGTATCATTAATAATCCATGACGAAATCAAGGCATAGTTTTTCAAAAGAGATACTTTTGTGAAACACGATCTGAAAGGAGTGTTGAAGTATATAGGGTATAAATTTGGACCCATCCCCCCTGTGACGACAGCAACATCGCTGATCTTGTCTTGATGTTTGTTGTATCGTGTATGTTGTTTCTCCTCTGTGTTGTTCTCTCTTATTGCTTATTGTCGTGCTTGTTATTTTCAACATTGGCACCTTTATTTCGTTTTTCGCGCTTAGACTCAGAGAAATGAGATATAATTACACTCTCTTTTTCTCCTCAAGTTTCTTAGAAGCTTCTTGATATATCTCTCTTCACTGAGNGCCCCCACAGACCGTTGCAGAGAAATGAATTAACCAACTAATTGGCTAATTAATTAATTATTATTAAATTTCTCTGTAGCGGTCTGTGATGATTTCTAGAGACTTCATACATCACAATACAGACCGTGACATAGAAGCTCCACAAACCATCAGTGACCGTGATAGACGAATTCCAGAAAAGAAGTTTCATCGTGTTTCACATTTTATTCCACCAGGGATTACGCTAACAGCTTTTTATATTGTGGAGATGAAAGTTGATTGGTCTTGGCATGAAGATCATTGAGTAAGCGAGTAACTTTACCTAAAATCTCTTCAATGGAACTTGATGATAATTCTTCATAGACACCTGTTGTCATTCGATATTCAACCGCTTTTTCTTCAAATTCATTCACATGAGACACATACAAATTGCCACCTTTATCTGTTTCTCAAAGAAGTAATTGACTTTTCTTGAGTTTACGACGAATCAACTTCATCGTCTGTAAACCACGCTGAGCACGAACGTGTTCAATAAATGGAACGGGAATCATATAGTGAAGCATGAGACAAGCTTGAAGGCGTTCAGAGAATTGTTTGAAAATGTTAGATCCAGCATCTCTGCAACTTTTTTCTGGAAGCTCTAATTTCGTTCGATTCACCATGATATTATGTTGCTCTTGAACTTTTTTTTTTCGTTCTTTATATGAGCGAAGAGCAGTACGATTTGGTCGAATATAATTTCCATCTGAATAAATACAACAAAGAAATCAATTGAAATTCTATGAATTCTGAGATTTATGTATATCGTACTTCGAGAAAGATATTCATGTCCAATCACAGCCAATGTATGGTCATTCACATTGAGTATCACTTCTGGAGACACACCAATTGTTTACTTTGTCTTTTTTGAGCGTTGACGACGACGACTAAGTTTTTCATGAAAACTGTCCATTTGTTGAAATGTATCTTTCTTGATTTGAATAGTTCGATGTTTTACATAAGCTTGAACAGGACGACATAGAACACTTGCATCGTGATGATGCTGTTGATGATTGGAAATATCTAACTCTATAATTGTGTTAGCTCTTATTGATATTGTCGATTACATTCTTTCATCTTGACATCATAAGATTCCATCAGTATATTGAACCAAGTTCGTTTCGTTTCTCGTAAGATTTTTGAACGTTTTATTTTGTAACTGAGTGAATACTGGTGTTCAAGAGTTGGTGTATAGAAATCATATGCTACCAGAGTATCTAATTGATCAAAAGTAGCAGGTAATAGTTTTGATAGAATTCGTTGTTCTAACAGTAACAATTCTTTTCGTATTTTTAATTCTGTTTCTCGTAGATGAATAATACGATTGATTGCTTCCTTCTGATGACTCGTCAGATTATTTTGGAATAAAATGTGATGAAGGCGTTTTTCATGCATCTCATCTTTGAATCTTTTTAATTGGTATTGTATTTTACGCGTGAATCGTTTTTGTTGCGAACAGATATATTCTTTTAAATGATGGTCAATGAGAGTGACAGTCAAAGTTTTAGGACAAGTTTCTGCTTGTAAATTCAACTTTGTAATGCATTGTTCTAATTGCTGTTGTATATGAGTCAAATAGTCTTGTACGAATTTTCGACATAGCTGAGGTTCACTGATTTCTGATATCTTATATAAATGATCCTTTGAATAAAAAAAAGCATGACAATAGTTATTCAAAATCAAGTGAAAGATGTACACTTACTCGCCATTGATGTTGTTCATATCCAATATCATAATAAGATTGACAAAGAGATTGATGTACATTTGAACAAAATTGTAAATCTAATAGTTTTAATCGTGAGTAAATAAATGCATGTTCCGATTTGGTCTTAATTAGATGATTGAGCTGCCGACCTAGTGCTTGAATCAATAGTCTTGGTGGTCGTTTCAAATAGGCTGCTACGCGATACACCTTATTGGGATCGGGTATGGATGTCAGGGTCAGGATCAAGTTCTGTTTCTTCTGTACTTTCTTTGGTTCTGGTTGCTAAATTGAAAATTGACTCTGTGATCGAACGGGTTCTCGTTTTCGTTTGATGGAAGTCTTTTTAATATTCTGGTTCAATGTCTAGCATATATATAAACTTTATTATTTCATCATATAATTCAAGTTAATACTGTCTTACTATGATTGTTTTAGGACGATGTTCGATTGAATCATTGTTATCGATGATGGACGCTGCTTGATTTTTACGAGAATCACCAAATCTCTTCTTGATTTTCTTCTCAATTTTATGTGGTTTCATTCATCGAGCACGACATTTCTTACGAAAGCGTTGTACTTTTCGATTACCATGACATTTTCTACGTCGTTTCGTTTCCTCTACTGGTTGATCTGATGATTTATTTTAATTAATCGTCTTCAATCCTTGATTATAGTCCGTATCCATGCTGAAAATAAATTGATTTTTACTTCTATCTGAAATATACAAGACAATCGTAATGAAAATTACAAGTTACTAGAACAAAGACACAGAAAGCATCTAATAAAATAATATTTTATTTGGCAATACTAGATGAAAGGTTCAATATTGTTATAGAACATTTGTATTAAGTTGAAATAATTGAGCTTTGCATTTGTAGATATATTCGAGACGTGCGTCAATATTAGCTAAACATTTTCTCATCATATGGATCATCGTTGGAGTTAATCGTTGATCAAAGGGAAACATTTTCTCATGTTGCCACGCTTGATGTATTTCCATATTGTATTGCTTTTGATACTGATGCATTTGTCCTTCAGCTGTATCTCTAGCTAGTATCATTATATCAGCGTTAGTTTGTTCGGCAACCTCGATATAGTGTTTGGATAATTTCTTTCTTACAGTTATATCTTGAACGCTATCAATTATAGATGGTTTTCCCATGAGTTGATTCTGAAAATAATCCGAAGCCAAATGTGCAGGAATGCATTGTTTAAGCGAATTAAAATGATATTTCGTGATAGCTTCTTCATATTTTAACTTACAGATACGTTTGAACAGTTGTATCTAATCAAAGAATTGAAAACGTCTATGATATTGTATATTCATCTAAACATGACGATGATATCGTTACCTGGTTTTCCTTGGGGTTTTCAATCAAATATTGACGTTTTAGCATTTCATCAACGCAATGATATTGAACGAGTGCTATTCGACAATCATATTCGATGCGTTGATGCATGAGCCCTTGTTTTACAAGATTTTCAATGGTTAATTCCATTGCCGTTGTATAATCCATGATATGAGTTGTTCGATATCGTAATTGATTTCGATATATTTCATTTTGATCATCTAATTTCTTTCGACAATGATTAACAAATAGTTGACATTTTTCATTCCGAAGTAAGCAAAAAATGAAGGAAGACTGCCGACATGACTAGTCTGAAACGTCTTGCATACCCGTCTTGTCTAGTCAGCTTAATGAGGAGTGTCTTACAAACACATATGTACTAGTCTGAAATGTCTTCAACAGCTATTAGGACTGGTCTGAAGCATCTTCTTGACATCTCGTGAATCATGACTAGTCCTTTTTTAAGAAGTGTTTATTTTACTCAATGCTTATCGAATTGTTTTCTAGCTAGAAGAACAATTAGAGCGTCTGCTGTAATCAATTATGCATTCGAAAAGATTTAATATATTGCGTGCATCCCTGTCTTGATATATTTTATTTTATTTTGCATTAGCTTATGCTAAAAGTTTAAGAGTGTATCAAAACATAAAATAGCAGGGGTTAGTACTAACAACGAAATTCATCTCGCATCTAGGAGTGCTAATTTATATTTTTTTTTGAATTGTGATAGGTAGTAATTTAAAAAAAATTGAGAAGCACCTAAATCGTTTCATATCAAAATATAATGTTAGTTTATGTTAAATATCAATTGTAAAAATTCTAAATTAAGCTAAGATAATTTATTTATTAGATAAATGTACGGAGATTTGAGTACTCTCTGAAAAAAAAACGTTTCCTATAAAACCCAAACCGATTCGGAAACCGTCTCGGAAACCTGAAACCGTTTACGAGAGGGTTTCGGAGAACTTGAAGCGTTTTCAAAAATACGCTTTTGGTTTCCAATACCTCGAAAACCCTCATGTTTCCCACAATACCGATTTCGATGCCCTTAAGGTATCCTATAAAACCTTTTTCTTGCTTCTTGAAGCCAAACCATATTCTCAGAAACTCATAGGGTATTCTAGGAAACTAATATTGTCAGAAAAGCTGACTTGGTATCCGAATGGGTATGCGACAATACCTTTTTGGTTTCTGAACCCATTATTCGCAAACCCTTTCGGTTTCCAAGCCTACTGAATGTCCAAAAAGTATTCTGGAAAATCAAAATCGGTTTCTGCATTTTTTCAATTTGTAAAAGATTTTCATACTTCTAAAAATGTTGAATATTTCAGAAAACAGAACATGATTCAAGTTCAAAATATCTCAGAAGGACATTTTCTCCGATCAACCTGGGCCGATCCACATTCCACAGACTACAGAGTTCGACATTTTATTTCAACTCTGTTCTCAATTCTAATGAAAGTTTAAAATAGGTTATCGACGTCCAGGAACCGGAATCCGTCATCATTCTTTTGATTCTAGCTTCCATCGATCAGAAATTGGACTGATCGGAAATGAGACTTGTTATCCTTATATTGAAATTTTTCCTAAGGATTCCGGTATAGATTGGCTGAGTATATATTATCATCTCATAATCTGGTAATATTTTTCTGCGTCGGAGGAGTTTAACAATTGAAAATGATGTCGGCATTGATGGTTTGATTTCTTTTAGATTTAGAATTTGGCTGAAATTTCTATTGCTACTGAGGGACAAAATTTATATAATGGTCCTATCGGTATCCGTATCTACAGAAAAGGCGTCTGTGTTGTGCATTTGTGGATTCAATGAGTAGAGTGGCGATGGTTACTTGTTTTGCTTCAGTTTAGATCGATTGTTAGATGAGTAAATGTCAATGGTGAGTTCGATTTTAATAGTTAAAAGCTGATGAAATATGTTATTTCTTTTTAGATCCAACATCCCATGTCGATCGTTCTTTTCACTTGAGGGTGTGGGTGTGGATTTAGAGCTTTTGTACACCCACACCCTCTGTGCCATGATACCAACGGATGTTACGAACATCCTCTATTTGCATTGATGTTAATAAATCGAGCTCGTTCAGATTTTTATTTGTGTGCCGCTTAAAAGCAGGCCGATTTATATAAACATTCAGGGGATAATCAATTGATGCTAATGTTGATGTGTCAAATGTAGAATATGAAATTGTAGACCATGGATTATCAGGTACTGATTCAAAATCAGGAACACCCAGGACAATGAATCCGGCCTCGGAATCCGTCAGGAACCTGTACGAATGCGGGGTATTTCCAGAAATTTCTGCTGCGTTCTAGGCCGTTTCCGCCTGGAACCGTCCGGAAAGCACACGGTAAAAGGAAGCAGTATTTCGGCGTCGCAAGCACCGTACCGGATCCTTCCTCTTCCTACAAAATTCAATCCATGGGATCATCTCGGAACAAAACCAAATCCACGGCTGAATCCTTACGGAAACTAATCGTATCCAGTTCAAAACCGTTTAAATTTTCTCCATATCTACGCGGGAAACACGGAACAGTCCGGATTTATTCAATAATTATCACTCATCACAAAGGAACACTCCGAAAATCAACGGAACACCTGGCAAGAATTTCCGACCGAGAAACTATCGTCTTTTTCCAGCACAATCCACAGCTTTCCAATGCTTTCTCACGGGAAACGACCTGAACCAGCTGCCAGACCTGTCGGAATCCAGCAGAAGCCTCTTTCTCAGAAACGACGATATCCCACCATAACCCTCTGGAACTGCCTAAATAATGCCTTGACGATCCAATACTTTTCGGCACAATGAAAGTACTAAGGATGAACTAAGCAAAGTCTATCACCATTTCAAAACAACTAAATTCCGAATGAGCCGAAGAAAACACACGAAAGTCTCCAAAAAAAGATGACTGTAGATAAAACACATCAGAGACACCACTACTCAAATCAATTAAGGCTCGCTCATCCATAAGCATTTATACGATTTTCGAAACTAAGTTTTCTAAATGCTGTTTCAGCAATAATCAGTGCTGAAACAGACTCAGTCGAATTTCTTAGATTCTGATCACTCATATTTTTTAGGTTTTAATGTACGCTTTTTCGGTGGTGGTTGCATCGCTTAGAGTGTGATATGCATTTTATGTAGCGGATGTTTTGGTTAATAAAACGAATGTGTATTTGATTTTTTTATGATAACTGATGTTAGTTGGGGAGTGTCTCTACATGGTACTTGGAGGAGTTGCGTGTCGTTTTTGGCTACAACAATTATGGGAAAAGTATTATTGAATGGGTACTATTGAGCAATGGGAAGGGTTGGTCTGCAAAGCAGATTTTTTCATGTTGTCTGATCGCTGAATTGAGTTTCGTGGACAGCATTAATTGGGTGATATGTTATGCATACCTTGTGACTACGTGTCGTGGTTGTAATAGGGATTCGAACCGAGATGGAAATGGTCGGCGGAAGGACCGACTGCTTCGGAGCGAAGGAATTGACGGGAAGTAGGTTGGAAACGTCGGTAGGATTCCACTCGGAATTGTATCGAAAAAGTTCCGGTGGAAACCGAATCATTTTTGGTCATTACCTTGCATTGATCGACTATCGGGATTGTGAACGGGATTGGTTACATTTTTTTCTGGATTTTTCAGCTATTTTCCTGACGGATATGAGCGGAAAGAGCTTGAAAAAAAACGGGAAAAGTCGTCTCGGAGTACTGCTTCCGTGAAATCGCAGGAAAACTTCGGAGCGTAGCGTTTCCGTGCCGGATTGTTCGACCTGAACATTGATCTGCTTCATAATTTGTACTTCAATTTAATCATAAACATAATATAATAATGATTCATTATCATCGTAGATTTGTTTGATATAATTCAAATCATCCAAACATTGATTCTGTTTGATCAGATTGACAATAATCAATAAATTCATTAGGTTTTAGTCCGATTCGATAAATATAGTTTGAATCAAGCCGTAATGGATTACGGTAATATTACCTCTGAAATAAGATGAATACACTCTAAAAAAATAGGTTTAATACCGAAGTTTAGTGGTTCAGTACATTTGATCTAAACGGTTTTAGGTTCGGTAAAGTGAAAATCACTTCGTAGTTGTGCTGATATTGATGGCACGCTTCGATGATTCTCCTTCGTTCTCTTTCTGTTCTCTTTCCATTGTTCTAATATCTCTCTCCCCTGTCTTTCTTCTATCTCTCTCTTATATATACGTATGTTACGTATGAAGTGATTACACTCTGGAGATGTCAGATGACACAATACACCATCATGCCGACGGGCATAGGCGACACTTTCTAGTTTTGTCGTTACACTCTGGATAACTTGAAGTAGCCTAATAAACATCTTTGCCGAGAGTGGCACAAGCTACTCTAATCAAGTTGTTCGTTACAGTAGTAATTATACAAAACTTTTCTAAGTTCACAAGAAAAGGTAGGGTTTCACAATTTTTCAACCGAACTTTCCGTTAGTTCCGCAAACTGGTCTATGGTTTCGTACTTGAAATATAAATCCATTATTAGTTTCTCAAAATTAAACAAAGTTTTGTAGTATATCGACCAAGTGACTGATGGTTCCAATTTCGTATTGAAAGCTTCGTCTTCATATTCTGAGCAAGGAGAGGTTTCGTACAATATTAGAAGGTTTAGAATTGTTTGTAATGAACTTTTCGTCTTCATGTTGTTGATCTTATGGTTTCGTATATTTTTGACGAAAAATTTCAGTTTCATAGGAGTAATTGATGATTTCGCACAAATTATACGAAACGATTTGTAGTTCTGTATATTTTCTGGTGGTTTTACAATTTTTTTTAAAATAACTTCGCATCTTTTCTTAAAGCATTCGTAGGTTTCATGCATTTCGTACAATACCATAAGCGGTTTTTATTTGTGTACATACATAGGGTGATCAAAAAAGTTCTCGAAATGGCTCTTGATTCATACTATTTGACACAATGGCAAACTTTCTCCTTTATATTCGCATAGTACCATGTCTCGTCTATTGATTAATGAAAACAAATGCTTATTATTTGTTTTCGGTGGATATAGAGCTCACTTTCCCTATATGCTATATTTTTAGATGGATAAAATCAATATTAGATACTACATTTTAACAAGATTTAAACTTGGCTGTACAGCAAAGCAAATTCACGTGGAGTTGTGTGATGCGTGGGGTGAAGGTTAAGTTTCATACAGCACAGTAGCCGAATGGGTGCAACGTTTTAAACAAGGAAGAATTTCATTGGAAGATGATCCAAGAGTTGGTCGACCCGTAACTGGGGTTACTGATGAAAATATTGAGACTGTTCGTATGTTAATTGAAGAAAATCCGCATATTAGTATTCGTTATCTTGCATTTGAAACTGGTGTGCCATATGGAACAATTAATAGTATTACTCATGATGAGCTTAAATTGAAAACGTTATGTGCATGATGGATCCCGCATCAGCTCATTGAAAAATGCAAAAAGAAGCGAATGAAAATTTGTCAAGAGAATCTTGCTAAATTAGATGTTGGTCAATGGAGATTATGTGACATCATTACAGGAGATGAAACATGACTGCACCATCGTAGCATTGATTCAAAACAATCAAACACGGCATGGTGTTCCGAAGGTACAGCGCCACCGACGGTGATTCGAAGAAACCAGTACGATCGAAAGAATATGTTTGTAATCTTCTTTCGAACTACAGAACAGAAATTAATTAATATGATTGAAAGTGGCAAATCTATATCTAATGATTATTAGAAAGATAATTGTTTAAAGTCTTTGTTTAACAACGTTACACAAAAACGACCCAAATCTGGTTTGCATGCAATCAAGCTGCATCATGACAACGCAAGACCGCATCAGACGAAAGGTATTAAAACATGAGGATGTGGACGGGTGTTCATGTGTAATCGATAATGAAAAAATTCACTCTCCACACCCTGTCAAATGATCGCTGAAAGTTAAAGTAGCTATTGATTGTCAAATCTTTATATCTAAACAAATTTAATTAAAGAGTTTTCAAGCAAAACAAAAATTATTCTATTATACTAATTCTTCATATTTTTTGACAACTAATAAAATCATGCGACTGATTGTTCTCTATTTCTTATAATCATTTATAAATATATGAATAAAAAAAGTATTTTTGTACATAAAAGCAAAAAGAAAACTCTAAATCATATGTTCTCCGTCTCTGTCTTGTTCTGTTGATGAAGTCGTTTTTGATGGGCATAATTTATTAAACCATATATGTCTAGGTGATGATTGACTTGTCATTGCTCTTTCGGTTGCTGTTGTTGGTTGTATATCGGTTCTATGTTCACACAAAGGTCTTCTTTGATCTCCAACACCATGTTCGTCATGCATATAACTTAAATATGTACCCAATCCATCAACTAATGGTTTGTAATGTTCAAAAAAGAAAGCATTTATTTGTGCTCCCAAAATAAGAATGGTAGCAAAATAAAAAAAGAAGAGAAGAAGAATAACAGCAAAACCAATTTGTCCTATTGAAAATAAAAATTTATTTATTTAAAATATTGAACATAAAATTGACTTACCTGCATAATTTCCCATAAATCGTCTTACATATAATGGAAATAAAATAATAAATATTTCAAGTGTACCAGCAGCAACTAATGATCCACACCATGTGACTTTAAATGACATTTTTTTATTTGGTACAAACCAATAAATACTTTCAAAGAAAATAAATGCTACAATTAATGAGAAAAGCATTCCAGCAAGAAATGTTCCAAAACGGCCACCACCGCCTGGAATAAAACTTAATAAAGCTGATGGAGCTGAACTAGCCGCAAGAATTATTGGAATAATAATTATAAAGAAGAAAAGCATTCCAAAAGCTAACATATTCTGTCGAAGAAATGTTCGTTGAGGCAAACGATAGACAATAGTCATACATTTATCAATAGCAATAAATAAACGAGATGCACCAAATAATGCAAAAAATATGCCAATAGCTAAGATTAAACCAGCATCTTTTGATAATTGATTAAAGGCAAGATCAACAACCTCAAAAAATAAAAATAGTTCATTGATCTATTTGTAGGTAATTATATTTACTTGTTTAATTCCACCTTGTGTCGTATTATCAGATGGAAATAAATGAATAATTTTATCTTTAACTTCTTTTTGTGTATCAGGATAATTTTTCAAGACTAAACCCAAAATTCCAAATAATGCAACAGCAATTGGAAGAAGAGTAATTAATAAATTGTACGCTAACATTGCTGAAAAATCCATCGACCAATCATTAGAAAATTTTCGAAGAAAACGACGAATTGGTTTTGTTTGACGTTGTCCTCCTTGAAATGCTGATGAAGATTTTATCTCATTTAGCATCGTTTTTTCTCACACTAAGTATTCAATTAATAAAATAACTTGTTACGTCTGAAACAAATTACTAACGACTCAACCAAAAAAACAAAAACAGACGCACGATGTTGTCCTGTTTGTAATATGAAGAAATCGAAGGAAGAAAGAAATATATTGTATGCACGAAACGTAACATAACATGGCGAGAAGGAAGGAGTCAATAGGAAAACATGCCAGTGGGCGCTCATATCCACAAATGAATTATAGAGAGAATTCAGAGCAAAGAAAAGGCAATAAACATTAGCGTATGGTTATAGCGATATTATCTCGACACTCTAAAAAATGCCAAGCGTCTTACAAGACGGTTTATGCGTCTATTTTTCATTTACTTTGGTTGTGCGTCTAAAATCGGTCATCCGTTGACACTTGGCACGTCTAGCTGAGACGCATAGTACGTCTAAAAACAAGACGCATCACATGTCTCAGCTAGACGTGCCAAGTGTCAACGGATGACCGATTTTAGACGCTCAAGCAAAATAAATGAATAATAGACACTAGAAGTGTTTTATCGAAGTGTCTTGATTTTTTAGAGTGTCATATTAGATTTGATTCTTTATAAACACAAATTTAACGAATAAATAAATACTGAAGGCAAAGAAGGGTTTGGGTGATAGGCAAGCAGAGACCTACAACCTCACCCACACTTTATTTTTAATTTTGACGCCATAAAGCAGAATTCAGAACAATTATCTTCAACAATCAATGGAAAAACCGAGTGAATATTCATTTATTCAAACATGCAACACTCATCCATTTTTTCAATATAATTGTTATTTTTTTGTTCATTTGAGAATTGTTTTCTTTTATTAACCCTATAGAGAATCTCATATATACTCTTAGAATAAGCATTACAAAGATTATTGAAAGACTAGAAAATTTATAGTAATGCTATATGTTATAAAAGAAAAAACGAAACGTCTGTTTTATAGTCATATTTTGCCTATAATTAGGACTCATTGAGACTAGATAAAACCTAAAAAGATTCTTCCCCATAAATTTTTCTTCTTCATTTGAAGCATTGCTCATATATAGATCTTATGATCTTTAGAACATCCTGAAAGTCTCAATCAGGATTGATGGTTTCTTTTTGAAATGTTGAATGCTGAAGAAAATTCCATTTTTGTGACATGAACATGTTTCTTCCGTTTTGATTAAAACACTTTCAGAATATTCTGAAGATCATAAGATCTAACGGGTGGCCCATAAATAATGGCGATCTCATTATTTACTCAATATCTTTTTTGCTCGTCATTGATTTGAACTGAATATTTTCCCAAAAGATTGAGCATTTAATTCTCTACAAACTCATGTGTAAAAGATTTTTTAAAACAACAAAATGGTTAATTACTAAAACGAAGAAAAAAAGGTCGAAAAATCCTCAACTTTCCAGCACTAAATCCGTTTCTTTTTTGAAAATTTGCTTTCCATGTCAGGATCTACAAAAAACTCAGTCTACCATGTTAAAGAGCGTCAGATTCTGGGCAAGATTCATGTGTTCGAATTTTTCTTTCCTTACAAAATGAGTAAAAAATTCTGTATCAATTTTTTCGGTTTTTCTAAAAAAACACAACTGTTATGTCATGTTTTTGATGCTTGCACTAAAACGCATGCCATTCACTTAAAAAGTGTTATTTTTTGACGATTTTTGTTTTCTTTCAAAGCCAACATACTCGATTACACCCCTGTAGACTTTCTTGTAAACCGAAATTCAGGCTTTATGGACGAGTTTTCAGAAAATATCGATTTAATAGGCGAAGACCACTTTTAAAGAAATCTTTTTCAAATACATTGAAAAGAGCGTACTTGAAAATACCAGAACATGTTTCTCCCGTAACTTAAGCCTGCGCATAAATTGTCGAAACATACTCCAAATGTTAATGAATGCTGAGCTTGAAAGTTGAAGATTTTTTAACCGTTTCTCTTCGTTTTAGTACTAAGCCATTTTGTAGTTTTAAAAAATATTTTACACGTGAGTTTCTGGAGAATTGAATGCTCAATCTTTTGGGAAAATGTTCAGTTCAAATCAATGCAGAGCAAAAAAGATATTGAGTAAATAATGAGGCCGCCATTATTTATGGGCCACCCGTTATATATGATCAAAATATCACTTCAATCAGTGACTCACAGTTGAGAATGTTTCCTCGTAAGATAAAGAAAATAGTGAAACATAAATATATACACGAGAGAATTTGATGTTTTTTTTCCTTTATGAATGTTTGATAGTTTTATTAGTTATTTAGTTTAAATGAAGTATCATGTTTTAACGATCTTCATTCAAAATTATCATTCTATATAGCGAATTGTCTTCCAACTGCTTCGATAAATGATTCATCATTTTTTCATTTGGGGTGTGGGTGTGGGTTTGTGGGTGCGGCTTGTGTTGATGTACACTCTATTCATGACTCAGAGCTCGATTCACACCCACACGCACGTTATAAAGAATTATTTTTCCTAACTGACAACAAACAACATTAAGAATGAAATAGGCAATAAAAATAATTGTAAATAAACAACCGAGCGCAGTTTTTCTTTCTGTTCTTTCTATAATACATTATTAGGTCTAGGTGTGTAATCCCTTGATGCTCGTCGAAAATACTGAGGACAAACGCATCTATTTCTTTCTATAATTTATCACATTAAGATTAGACAATTTTTGCATTTTTATTTTATTCTACTAGCGTGACCAATTGCGATTTGTATTAGTTTATAAACAAATAGTACATTTACTTTAGTTTTCTCTTTCTTCTCAACGCTATATGCAAAGAAGTACGATATAGTTCAAATTAAGTTTCGAGTCAATGATAGATTTAGACGAGAAACTATGATAAATGCTTGCTGAACGAGACTCAACATAGATTAAAGTATTTATACTTGATCGATGAAATTCTATTATTATCGAAGATTTCAATAATTTTCTAAAATAATTAGATTGAATTAGATTTCACTCTCTCGTTAATATTGTAAAATGCCTGCATTTTTCGATATTGTTGACAAAACAGTTTACCAAGTGAAGTTCTTCAGGATACATGAATTGAATGATTTGAAAATCATTCTTTAACACTGAAGGAAGTATAAGCAGTTTATTTTTGGAATATTTTTATATTTATCATAAAAATAAGAATTGATGTTATAACAAATATATTGATAGGCAGTCTACCTTTTGTATATTTGTAATATTGAGTGGCTTTAAAAACTCAGAATATAATATTATGACAGAAATTTGATATGTATAGAATCAGTTGGCGCATTTTTTATTTTACACAAGACGATATTCGTGCAACGATTGGAAAGTAAAATTGTGTTACACGAAAGAATTGTGTTGACATAGGTTCACGCTTATCTTAGTTATCATTAGTGTGCTTATTATTAACTCTTATTTATTATTTTTTCAGCTTGTTATCTAATGTTATTTACTTAAGCACTGGGCTTGACTTTATTGACACTGTTTTTAGGTATTTTTATTTCAACAGTTTTTTTCCTACAATATTTTGATGAAAAAATAGTAAGTGTAAAGTTACATATTTTACACATCGACTGTTAATGTATACAACAATGAAGTTTTTACTTCAGACAAAATAATTCTTTTTCAAATTACAACAGTGACACTTTTATTATTTTAATGAGATTCAAAACCGGATTATATGCTAGAATATAAGTGATGAAATAATAAAATTAAATTGCATTATCCATATATTTTCAAAGAAATGTTTGTTTTGTTTTTCAATAAAATTAATAAAACATTAAAATAGCAGTCATTATCGCTATGTGGTAGATAAACATAGCTGGTTTGATGATTAATGCGTCTGATGATAGAATACGACCGCATAGAACTCGCGCACCAGCATCTCTATGTAAATCAAAATCAAAATATTATTTTCCTATCAAGTATAAAATCATACCCAGTTGTATTACTACTTGACGCTCCTCCTTGACCACCATCATCACGCATACGATGTACAACAATAGTTAGATTCACAATTGATCGGTTCCCATTATAAAGTTGGATTATCGAATCTTCTATATTAATATTAGCATTACCTTTATCATCGGTTGTTATATTTCCAAGATCGCCAACATGTCGACTTGTTATATTAGCCGTACGAGGGCCATGTAAAGTTTCTAATGGAAGGAAAGAAAAGATAATAAAAAATTGTCTACTTGAATCAACGATTTGAAAGTTTACTCAAAGGATTAAAATGTCCACCAGCTGCTGTACAATTAGGTACAGTCTCTGACACTCCGAATTCATGAACATGAAAACCCTGGTAAAAAAAATAATAATCCAAAAATAATTTTTTTCGATTGCATTCTACAAACATGTGCACTGGTGATATTGAGTCCGGAGAGCGAGCCACTAATGCGGACTGATGCGCCTGCATTGTCTTGCGTGAAAGTCAGTATACCAGCGGATTTATTTGTATTATCAGCGTAGAGGATAGCAGTAGCTTGCACTGCACATTGTCCTTGGTGAATTATCAACAATAAAACACTTACAACTAATACGATCATGATATGTAATCTCAAAAGAAAGAAACAGAAAAGGTATAAATTATATGTACGTGCGTGTGTGTTTGTGTGAAAATACAAAAATGATCATTACACAGAGAACCACCCCTATTAATAGGCAATATCACACAGCTTTTATTTTATTTGAACAAGAAAAGCACATATTCATTCTATACCACTTCCCTTTCCGTCGTTCTGTCTTCTGCAGTTAAGCCTCTCTATTAGCTCGCACATGTCGACTGTTTAAGTCAACACAAAAAAAACTCAAAAGAAACAATTGACGAAGGAAAACAAAAGGAAAGTCATACGTTTACCAAGTAGGATTACTTGTACTGATCACAAATACAAAAATAAATTTCTCCATGTGACGAATCGAACAATCACCAACAAAGATAGGGAAGAACGGAACTTGAAAATATTCGGTTGTGTTCTTTCAAAACAAAATGTATGAATCATTCGTACTTATTGAAAAGACGAGATGTATATTTTGCAAGCTCTATTATTTTCACATTTACCCTATTGTATTCATATGAAACAAACCTTACCTTTTACTTTTACATTCTTCAAGCGTCTTACCTTATAGATAAATATCAAAAATTCTCTCGTTCTTTTTTTTCTTGTGAAATAATTATAAATAGATACGATGAAAACAAAATCGACGAATGCATAAGACACATCATCGTAATATAAGCATAATCCAAGCGACGGTAAAAAGAAGTATGAAAATAGCTGGAAAACCTGAGGTGAGAAAAAAATGAATTACTTTCGTAAGACACTAATAGAGAAAATATGAAGTATTTCTCGCTTTTTATTCTACTAAATATCATAACTTCAGTGAAATCTGCTTCGTTTTATCTTATCAGTGAGATCAAATAGAAGTTTGTTTTGATGAAAAACTTTTCTAAGGTGAGTAAAGTCGAGTGGATTTAATGTAGGAAGCACATGCTACTTGTATGAATGAGTAAGAAAATAAAGAGAAATGTTGATGAAAAGCGAGATGTCAAGTTAAATATATTATGCATCATACATTTAACAGATCTGATAAATAGAACAAATATATTCTCGAAACATTTTTCTTTCGCATACGGAAATACATGACAAATACTTTGTAATTAATTTAAATCAAGATCTACGCTTCGCGATAGACCGTTGATAAGTAAAATTTATTATTAATAAATTATATAGTTGATAGATTAGATTTTGTTTTTAATTAAATTGATGATTTAGATTTCTATTGTGTCACTTGTCATCTTAATTTCATGTGTAAAAGATGCCCATGGTGTTATGTCACAATATAAGTGGATGTACTTTCAACCATACGGAAGTACGGTGAATCTCGAACCACTTTTTAACTACACGGAGTGTACTCGTCAATCGCAGTGTTATTGGAGATTACCTGATAAATTTACTCGACTAGATTATCCATTGAATTCCAGTGTAACATCGAAATATTCAATTGCATTGAATGGGATATTAACTATTATTGATATTCAACCGAGTGATAATGGAATTTATCATTTTTTTCAATTGAACAACAGCGAATGGATTGTATCGAAATCGTTGTTAAATCTGCACGGTGCACCATTTGAATCACTTTGGTTAGAGTATTGGCCTAATGTAAGATATTAATTAAATGTATTGTTTGTTTTTCTTTTGAATTATTAATATAGGTTGTCGGTGGCCTTGTTGCGATGGCAGGTAAACATTGACATTTAAATCTGTTATGTATTCTATAAATTGATTTCTGTAGCTGTTTTTATCAGCTTCGGTTTAATTATGTTCGCTAATAAATATCGATATCGTTCACCGAAAACCGAATCAACACGTCGTATATCTCAGCGACCGGGAACTGTAGCACCTCTTAATCAGCCTGTTATCATCGAACAAGCTAATCCAGGTATGTTTAATTTCGTTTGTTTTCTTTAAGAAGAAGTCATAGTCACTACATTTTTCTAGTATTTATGCATGATGATGATGAAAATGATTTAAACACAACGCAAACTCGACGTCAATCAACCAATAGTAACGCGTCTGGTTTACGTGTTGCGCAATTTTAGATAAAAACTATTTAATGCTTTAATCTACACTATTGATGTTTTTTTTTAATGAAACAAAATATTTAGCTGATGGCACACAAATGATTTTGATAATAAAATATTTTTCAAAAGTCACTTTCTCACATAAACTATTGTAAAAGAAAATGTTTATTATCGATATGTAAAATGTTACAAAAAAAGGGAAAACAATCCCGTGACATTCTAGTATTTACGTCTTATTTTACTGGTTGATTCTTTAATTAGACAACGGATTGTCATTTTGACGTATTGATCTCAAACAAAAAAAACTAAGTTGTCACACTATATTTGTATGCGGAAAAAATGCTTGTAGACAGATGAAAAGAGCCACGTGTACGGGTTGCTTACTCGTTGGCAGAAGGACAACATATGTCCATGAAACCAACATATGAGATAATGCCACATTGCAAAACTGATAAAATAAAGAACGAACGAGAAAAGACTGTTTCCTGCAAAGAACCAAGTAATAAGATAAGACTAAATTTGGAGATGATGAGGAGCAATAAGCGATTGGTTGCTACTCTCTCTCGTGAATTCCCGGGTTTACAGGATTTACTGTCCATTGATTGTTTTTCTTAGAAAATTGTTTTTTTTTCTACAGAAAGTATACATTTTGCTGCTGAGGATTTACTGTCCGTTGATAGCCTCGAAGAATAGAAATGAACAGAAAAATATTTATCGCAATCAACTAAGTATATTTAGAAAAAAAAAAGAATTCGAGCAAATATATGAGGAAATAACAAAGTGAATAAGGAATTGATTAATAAATAAACCAAAAAAGGTGAATGGACGTTCAACGTTTTGGTGGGCGCTGAAAATATCTAAGTCCAGCAGCTTTTAAGAATAATGGAATATCGATAATCGAGGTAGCATAATTGTCGGTTACCATGGGTAGATTCAGTAAATATAGCAGACATTTTTAGCAAGAGTATGATAAAAAAAATTATGTTCTTTGACTTCATATATATTTTTTATAATTTTTTGCCATATTAATGACTATCTTACCCCTCAATTTGATGAGCATCCATCATTTTAAATTGAAAATTTATTCAATAGTTCGCTCATCGATGACTTTTTTGTTTTTCAACATTTGTGTAATTTTTTCTTCAGAAACGGGATTGACTGTCAAGACCATTACTCATTTATTAATTTATTTTCTTCGAAGTAATCAATGGGCAGTAAATCGTGTACACGGAATTTCCGATTGTCATGATCAGAAAGCAATATTATTCAAACCGACTTCTAAATCTCTATCAGGAATTTTGTTTTATCACAAGAAATAAATTCTGAATTGTCAACGAATATGCGTATTTTTATTTTCTAAAAGTATAACTATCAGTCGCATATCGGCTATTGACTTAGTTGTACTTCACACCAATGTCAAACATATTTTTTCAATTACATCAAAGATTACAATCGAATGATATAAATAGATACCAGGTTAAAGTCCGATCGTATCTTCGTAAAGTGTTTTCTTTTAAAACAAAAACAAAAAACGCTGATGTCAATCAAAAGCATATGAATATGAAAAATATTTCAATTATTATAACCACTTTACCATCGATAAACAAAAACCATTATAATATTGGTCAATAAAAAATAGGCGTCGAGTACTCTTTCAAAAGGTTACCAATTTCGATGAATTATTGTTTTTTTTGGCCTGTGTACGTAATATGTTTCAATAGCGACCAGACAGAATGTGTTCTTCGGAAACAAACACGAGTTACAAGTGATTTCTTCCAAGAGAAAAAAAAGAGATCCTTGTCAAACATACATATATTATCAATTTTTATTTAACGGTGCTTCCATACCGAGCATGGTTGCACTAAAAACACGATCACATTTAAAGATTTTTAAATCACATTTATAATGTTTTGGACAGCAATGTTTATGATCGGCACAGCACACTCCATCTTGAATCGGACAACATGAATAATCACCATCTGTTGAAATGCAACAAGTACTAGTCGCTGGGCATATTGAAAGACCATCTGGACAAATAATATCTGCATTTGGTGGTGGAATGGTTTCCGCATTTTTCGAGGATACCACCATCAATAGCAAACAAAGAAAAAGAACAACGAATATATTCATTGGTACACCAGTCATCTGAAATGGACTACTGTTTTCTTAGTAATTTTAGCTTCTTGTGAGTGATAATGCAAAAACGCGTGCGATATATAACGAATCTTGAGTAAAGTACAATGCATTTAATATTTTCTCATAATCCATTCAGTCCTTATATTAGTTTTGACAAAAAAAATAACGACATCAGGAAATTTTCACATGGTATCAATGAAAAAGAAAAGGACTTTAATTAGACGTCAAATATAAGTGTGCGGGAGTATGACACATCAAAACAACAGACTAAAATACTCAATGAGTATATCATTCTTCGTTGTTCATATGGTACCAACAGTAAAATCAGTCAAGATCAACAGTCCAAAACTGCCTATTTTCATCATCAAAGTAAGTGAATATGTGAATGTTGAAAAAAAAATAGTATCATTTTGATTATTGTATGTGTTTTATTACTGGGAAAATGATTTCGACCGAAGATCAATCGAAAACTCTTGCATTCGTAGATGGTTATTGTTGAATATTACCATAGTTATTTTCCATTTTATTTTTGTATCTTTATCGTGAAGTAATCAAAATACGTTGAGACACTTGGATTATTTTAAAAATTTGTTTTACGACATCGGTGAGTTGACTAATTTGGTCAAAAATCAGATTCACGAGAGCGTTGAAAAGTCAAATTTTACATCTGGAAAACGTCTTAAATAATTTTTCCCGTCTATTTTTGTCGTAGCGTACACGTGAGCAATGTCATTTGCACGATTTCCAGATGGCAGACTTGTCTGTTCAACATCTTTATCCATCCCCTACGATGAGTAACTGAATATTATGTTTTCTGATTGATATTGACGTTTGGTGAACGGAAAATATTATTTTCAATCTGAAACTGATTTATTTCTAGTTGCTTTATAATAAACGTAATGAAATGAATTGTGTTGAGCAGTATTAACTTGAAAAGTCTTCGAATTTAAAGTTCTCAAGGGAGAAAAGAAGATTTTCTTTTAATTCTTGGCTTCTATTGTTATCAAATGTAGACTACATTCTTCAGAATTATGATGGTATTAAAGATGTGTGCATTCTTAAGACGACTAAGACGCAATTCCAATTGCACTCTGATTAGAAACTAAATTAAGAATTAATCAAATTGAAACTTGATACATTTTCACAACAAATCTATGATAGCGAGGCGTCTATTTAACACATAAAGCAATTCTATTTTGTTGTGCTTATGATAAAAACGTAGAATATCAAATTCAAAAATGACTCGCAATATTAGAATGAACTCAAGTAGCTAGTACATATGCTTTCATTCTAATTCTATATCATGTCGCTAATATGACGATGTGACATGAAAGTCCATACATAAGAAATGTGTTTTGACGTGTGAACTTAGGTTTGGCGAGAATTTTCTATGTAACATATTGTTAATTTAAAATAACAACATTTAATCCGAAAACTAAAACGATAACAAGTCGCATGTCTTTCTTTGTAGAAAAAAGAAAAACTGTGGATTGTCACCAGGCAGAGCTTACCGACTCAGTAGTAAAACAATTCCAGGTATAGCTTTATTTTTCCCCAACAAAATACGTATTACCATGGGATTAATAAAATGGTGTTTGAAAGAAAATATAGAAAAAAAATGTGTTTTCTTTCGCACAGCTAAACATTGTTAAATGAACTATATATATGTAAAGAGTTAATTTAGTTATTCTCAATTGATTCATTAATTCTAGGCTGTAGACTAGTCTAGAAAAAAAAAGAAGTATTTGTCAATATTCCGTCGGCAGAACTCATTCGATTGTTTGTTAATCCATGTAAATTCAAAGATATGCTTGATGTAAAAATGAAAAGAAAGAATACTTTCACGCATAAACCTTAATGTTTTTGCAAGAATCACAACTTTTTCCTCAAAGTAAGTTCATAATCACCACATGAAATATACAAGTGCAGTCGTAGGTTATTTTCCTATGGGTTACCAGTATCATAAAAATGATGAGAACGTTCTAATACTACCAGTTGAATATCAGATGTTGAAAATTCTCCGCATCGATCTTTAATAAACATTCTCTACCCGTTATCATGTATCTGTTGATAATCCCATACGGATTTTTGTTTTCTGACTGACGAATTTTGATTAACCGATAAGAATTCGCTATGTCACTGGCTACTTGTTTCCAATGAAAATTACTAACGAATTAAAATATAGATAATGTGTAGTTCTTGATAAAGAGAGAAATTTCTGTATTTCTTTCCTTTTCTTTTTTCTTCTATCTCCTACTCATTATTCTTCACTTGGCTCATTGACACAGAACGCGATTTGCCATTTTAGTTTTTTTTCTCTATGCTCTTCATATTCTATCGTTATTTTGTCTCATATCAATGAACATCTTTACGCAAATCGCAACGCAATTTCTTATTAATAAAAATACGCTGACGGATTTGTTAAAAACATTGAAGTTTTCCACGGCATTTATCGAAGAATTTCAAAATGATCACATTTTTATCGATGAAGATACAATTAGACAGAAAATCCGTATCTTATGTGACATAACACAAGATGAATCGTTTCAAGGTTTACTATGTCACGATAATGGTATTCAATTAGTTTTCCATGCAACACCTCATGATTATCGTTTCATGCGATTTCGTATTAGTTTCGATATTAAAATCATTGGAATTATTCTAAATAATCAACAACAAACGTTACAATTTTTAATAAGTAATATTCAAATACAATCACTTAATCAGCTTTCAAAGCCATTTCGATTTTGTGTTCAGGTAAAGCAATAAAATACTAATTCATCTATTTACATATATTACAGGAAATAAAATACGAGCTATTGATATTAAAATATCGAGACCTCTTGCTATTCTATATGCTCAATTCAAGGCTTTTTCTATTAGCATTGAATTTCCTGAAATTCATAAGAATTGTTTCATTTCCTCAAACACAGAAATGTTTGTACTTTTATTGATGTTATTTAAATCAGAATGACATTCTCGTTTTCTAAACGTAAGACTTCACTAATTGTGAACAGAACATAACACTAGGATTAATTAGGATAATTCTAACTGGAAAGACCCTAAACTGTTCTACATAATTATGTAAAGGTTGCATCCTGACAGGATACCTGTTGCGATAATTTACTGAGCATCAACAATCTAGTCTGTAGTTTTTCTTAGTTAAAAAGAAAAATCTTAAGCCTGGAATGAATCATTAGTAATACTTCAACATATCGCAGTTTCACTGTAGTATAAATATCAAGTACTCGATCTTTTGTTGTTTTCATAGCTGTCATTCAATGAAAGCATCTGGCATGAAAAAATAATGATTTATCGTAATGCTGATTTTTCTACATCAAGAGAGATTTTCTGAGGAATAAGCACTCGTCAGATTTACATTTTCTAATTTCCCTATTAATTCAAGCCCATATTCAGTCATGTAGAATACAATGCACCGCCGACTCTTTAATCTTTAACTTTTGAATATGCTACTAATGATCCGAGAACGACTTGAAATAAGAATAAAAATTGTGTATGTTTTTTTTTGTTTTAGTGTAAAGCCCGAACTTTAGTTATCGATGAACTTGAACGACTTTGTGCCGAAAAAAATATTTCATATGAAAGATTATTTAAAAATCTAAAATGCCCTTTAGTTTATCGGATTAGTTTATCGAATATGAAAGAATTAAATCATTTACGCGAACGATATTTAATTATTGGTAATCGATCAATACTTGATTTAATACAAATAACCTGGGTTGAGCACCGTGAACAGGCTATTGTATTGGGCTATCTTTTAAATACTTCGCTACATGGAAAAAAATCGTATTCTTACATTCAACAAGTGACTATGGAGAAAAGTTCAATATTGTTATGAAAAAATTTAAAATAAAAGAAAAATGTTTTGTAATTACTATTAATCATGAGTGACGGGCTTTGTTGAATATGCCTTTCTTAGTTCAATGAAAAGTATGTCATAGAAAATGATTAAGGAAACGTCAGTAGATGCGTTTTGTAGATGAGAAAATAATAAGATGATTTTTAATTATAGCACGTCATACATTTTGTATATTATGAGTCATTAACGACGAACCAGATCAGATATTCGTTAGCATTTCAACATATGTTAAATCGATTCAAAGCACTGTAGTGTCTCGGAAAATTCTGGCTTGATAAATAATAGTAGATATCTCTTAATTCTATATAATCCAATGCTGTTTTGTATTCGAATTTAAAAAAAATTGAAACACGAGAGCGACGATGTTGCTTAAAAATATCAAATAAATTCTATCGTATCGACTCTAATGAATTAATGGTAAGTACATAATCCGTCAAAAAGAAGAATGTAAGTCTGAGTTTTATATAGACGTAAGTGTCAGAAAGAAGCAAGGTGTCTTTTTAAGTACTCATCAATCAAAAAAGCATTTATAGATGAAAGTGGAACGCATGTCTCTCTTATGAAATCTGCCTAAGTGGATGTCGGCATATTTTGATGGCCATTAAATTGTGACAAAGAACTGATTTTTGCACAAAATTTACTTTCAGTTACGAAAGTGCCAACGAGAGTTTAATTTCCAATGAAGAAATTCAGATATTATATTTCTGAATGGATATTTTTTCATAAAAAAAGAGCTGTAGAGCCACTAGAGAATTTCCTGTTCGAACGAACTCTGGTTTCTCGACATACGGACTCATTGAGAGAAGTATGGTTTTATTGAAAATTTAAAAGGCTTATCTGTGAATATTTCAGTGGAAAAATCAACTATCTATTGTATTAACCAAAAGAAAAAAGCTCAAGTTCCAATAAAGATCTGCTTTATGATTGTTCACTGTTGTCCTTCCGTGACGATAGTAGTCGCTATCCGAAATATTCTTACGCAAAGCAATCACGTTCATTGAAGGAGAGATCGATAGTTGTTTTGATTGTACATTTGAATTCATCTATGATTTCTATTATCTTTAGAAAAAGGAAGCAATACGCGTTGAAAACAGGACGCAAAAATGCTTAATCATCGTTTACATGGTGAGGAAACCATGTCAAAAATTTCGAGTCAACAGAACGGAAAGAAAATGATGTTGTATGATTTACTAGAAAATTTTTTGCCCTGTCATACTAGCAATGCAAATAGCTATTTAAAATAAATTGGTAAGAAAAAAATGACTCCGAGCGTTACTGCTGCCGACAATGCAATCCTCACATGTATCATTGGTGAATTATGTTCTTCAAAAAAGTCAGCCTGGCAATGTACAACATGTAATCGATACTATCGATAGATTCGGTTGGACTAAACAATGGTTGATGAATATTGGCGATCGAAAAGGACAAATTCTTGATGATGCTATTCGAACACGAAGACCAAAAACAGTTTTAGAACTGGGTATGATTATTTTATTTTGTACTAACAAGCGATCCATTGATTTTTGTAGGTACTTTTCTTGGTTATAGCTCATTGAGAATGGCAAGTCAATTGCCAGATGATGCATTTATTATTTCCATTGAAAGAAATCGTCAATCAGCTGAAATAGCTCATACTATTCATAAACATGCGGGTGTAGAAAAACGAATACAACTTATCGTTGGTTCAACTGAAAATGTTATTCCTCGGTTGACTGAAAAGTATCATATAAATGCGTTTGATTTTATTTTTATCGATCATGATGGTTCAGCATATTTACATGATCTTAAGCTATTAGAACAGTACGGCTTGATTCAATCCGGCACTATGATTGTAGCTGATAATGTTATCTATCCTGGTGCACCGAAGTATTTGCATTACATTCGAAATAATCCAAATTACAAAACCAGATTGTATGAATCTACTCTTGAATATAACGATAACGTGCGTGATGGAGTTGAAATATCTGTACGACGATAGATATTGCTATTTTAAATTAAATAAAAAAAAGAACGACAAAAATATTTCGTGCTTCTGTTTATTTTCAATTTGATTTTTTCTCGAAAGTCAAAAAAATATAATCGTACTATTTCTCAGGGGATATATTCGTAAAATAGTATGATCATACAAAAGATAGAATATTGTAAATGGTTGGTATAATTGCATTGCTTTTTCTCTTATTATTAAGTATTTATAGCCGATAGGAATCGCGTGTTCTCGATATTTATAGAAAAATTTCGTAAATAAAGCCCGATGCATTGATAATGTTAATGCTATTTTTTAATAAAAGCTAACTACAAATAATCACGAATAATATCAATCATTTTAAATTTCATTGTATCAAACTTCAAAAAGAAGAATGGCTGTTTTCGAAAATTTTTCAAGAAAAACGAAGCATCTCTTCTTTGTAAAAACCACCGTAGAGTCACACATGACTGCGCTTGTTAGGTCGTATAACAGTCATATAATGTTTTACTTGTGTGTATACATCGATTATACATATCATGTGACGACATACATAACCATATACTCGGATGTGCAATGTTCGATTCTTTTTCTCTCAACCTTGTTCGATAGCTGTTCACACGTAAAAAGATAAAGAGCTGAGGACACGTTTTTTTTTCTCTCTTCTTCTTCTTCCCGTCGTTTCATTTCTATTTAAGCAATTATGTCGAAAAAAGCTGCAATGACATCGCCGGATCAATTACCAATTATTCCTGAGGCGCAAGTCATTGAGCCCATTGTTCAATGTGGTGTTCTATATTTGGGCACAGCACTGCCAAGTCCTGGTCGTCGTGGGCTTGATTCAGTTCAAGAACCATTTGCACATCGGTATCCTGTCGATGGAACGAATACAGTCCGAGGTATTTTATTACTTTAATCATATAACGAAAATTATTGTTTTTCTTTCAAAGGTATTGATGCCGTACTATCTATTTATGAGAATGGCATGCAATTAGCATTTGCTCGTCAACCTCATACAGTAATTTTTTTCCCAATATCATCACTTCTCTATTGTGCAAGTCTTCGTTTTTCTATTGTTGAATCTGATCAAATATCACCGATTGATTGGCGTTTTATAACATTAGACACGACCGTTAAAATTCAAAGTAATCATCCACCTTTATTTTGTGCTGTCGTACAACGTACACAAATCGTACCAGGCGACGAATGTCATTGTTTTATAACGAAAAGTGATGATGCAGCACTTGCACTCGTTCGAACAATATCAGAAGTTTATGCGACCCTGAAAAATAATGTTAAACCTTTCAAATCACCCATTTTCTATCAGGTTAAATTGTAGTTTTTGTACTGATTTATATTCTAAAAATTTCATTGAATTGTTTGATTTCAGTTAGATCGTTATGGAAGAAAAGTTACTGAAACAACTGGAATTATTTATATATCACCCGATAATGATGATGAAGCTCGGTCCAAAAAAATTACAGATCGTAATAGTTCTAAACATTCGACCGATCGGAATTGCTTGCTAGATCCATCATCTTACGGGTATTTCTATCGTACGAACGCAAGTAGTATAGAAAAATGGGAATTATGGGGCGATGCTGATGTAAGTGAATCTCGTCCTCGTCCTCCAGCTTCACCATTTGGTCTACATCATGGTCTTTATCATGATGATTTAACACAAGAAGTTCATCATCATCTATCTCATATGGACGATGAAGATCGTTCGACTTCATCGAGTTGTTCGAGTTCATCGAGTGCATCGGACCAATACGATCGACATCGTCCTAGCAGCAAACAACAACAGAGTAAACATGAAACAGATCCATTTAATACATTAGTTCCACAATCACAAACAAGCTCATTTGATCCATCGTTAACACCACAATATAACGTGCAGTTCAACACAATTCAAAAACCACCGATTGTTATTGAAAAAGTTATACCGAATAATCGCATGATGACAATTCCTCAACAAGTTCCCAACTATGGTTTTCAACAAGCTGAGCAAACTCAAAATTATGGCTTCCAGCAAGCTGAACAAACTCAAAATTATGGCTTCCAACAAGTTGAACAAGTTCCTACCTATGTCTTTCAACAACCCCAGCAAGTATTCAATCCTTCTGTACCTATACAAAAACCAGATACTGACTATGCTTCAATGTGCGATACCTATTATATCAATGAGCGAGGTGAAAAGATCACGAGCGAAGGCAATCGTATTTTATTTATGGATGTTATTCAAGCAAACCCGACAGATAATGATTTAGTACCAAAATCTAATGAAACATCAAAAGTTCGTCCTCGTCGACATCGCCGACATCGCCATCGATTCAGCCATATACCTGTTCTTGATGCTCAAGCTGTTGAAAGTATTATCAGCGAGAAAAAAGCTAAACAACAACAACGAAAAACTACTGGTGCCGACGAAAAATATTTGACAACATCCGATATGTTAGAAATGGTCGATGAATATTTTGGAGAATACAAAGGAAGAAAACGTAAATCTAAAAATCATCCTGTACAAACAAAATTTGATCATTTAGAATTATCAAATATACAAGATTATCAAGATTCGAATAGTTCAAATAATGACACTTATCGTCGGCGCCGTCGAAGTCATACTACGTTAACTGCTGGGCCATCAATTAATTATGTCGAACGTCAGCCTCCGATGAAACATGCATCCGAACAAGCATGGATCGAACATCAACAACAATCGAATTTTCCACCATTGAATAATGAACAAGTCAATGAATACGTAACAAATATTTATGGAACATCGGAACAAGTATCCCAATCGGTTAAATCACCTGCACCATCAATAAACAACCGTGAAGCTCAAGCATCTCACAATAATACGCGTCCTGTTACGCCAACAAATGAAGAGTTTATTTCGCCATTTCGATATATGCAAAGTAGTGTTAATCCCTTGTTAATGCGTGAATATCATAGAGCTCTTAGTGGAGTTCAATAGAAACACATTTCTTTTTTCTAAAAAAGAAAAGATCATTCTAAATAAATTCGAATTCTTCTGATGGAGTTAAATAAAATGAAAATCTGTTCATTGGAATTGTGTAAATATCATTTGTCGTCGAAGTTGGTACTGGTGACGGAAGATTTTTCTGTGAACTAACTTTCTTCTTTGTTGAAATCTGTTCGGTTTGTCTTGACAGTTTTTTAATTGAAAAATACTTGCGAAAAACTCGATTAGGTATCCATTGTCGTAAACGTGAACTATCAGGTTGATCGTTTGTATGACGACGAAATAATTTTCTTAGTAGATGATTACGTTGTTTTTTTGACGAAAGCATCATTGATCGTTTAATTCGCTGTTCGGAATCGTCTTTTTCTCTTCGAGATAATTTTATCAGTTGAAAGCAAACAGTAACAATTAGAAAAAGAATAATACCAACAATTGATGCCATAACTAATTGTGTGGAATTTTGTTTAAATGAACTATTTAATAATTCAGTTCGACGAATAAATACACAACCATTACGTGGCGAATAAATATAAGACGTTGAATACGATTGAAAATCAACACACACTTCATATAGGCCAGGATCAAGATTTAAGATATGTAGACTATTGTTTGCATCAATTAATTGCGTAAAATTAGTTAGGATATGTACATTAATAGTCGATAGGGATATTTCATCGATAGATCGTAATACAAAACGATATCCACGAAATATATGAAAGAGTGATTGTTCGATTGTAAACCAAACAAATATAGAACGATCTCGATAGTTATCTATATAGCATGGTCGTAGATAATTTGTAGTTATTGATCGAAAATAATTGTCGAGACACGTTTCTTCGCTATCTTTTACACGATGTTTATGAATTATTAAACATGTTGACAGTAATAAAAGATTACTACCAATCAAAATGGCGAATAGATGGATGTACATGATTGTAAGTTAAGTCTGTTGATAATTGAACTGAAGAGAGAAACAACAAAAAAGAAAAACAATGGCCGTAGAATTATTTCGTTACGATGATATTTGAGTCATTTCGTATTTGCATATCAGTAAAAGACGACATAAATGATAATCGAACGATGCAATAAATAGAGACGGATTTGTACCTTCTAGCCTTGATATAAATATGTCAAGAGAATAAGAGATTGATGATTAAATCTCATTATACATAAACGATATAGTAAAGTTGAAATAAAAGTTGAAAAAAAATGATTAAAGAATGCATTTGGTTATTTAGTGTTACTCGTATTGACGATATTTTGGATGATCGGAATGAAATAGTCAAACATTTTCGGAGATTCAATTGTGTGTTTTTTTTATATCAATTGCTACGTTCTGTTAAAATAAATTTTTTTATTTCAAAAATGATTGATTTAATGCATGCAATAACCTTTCGTTTCTTTAAGAGTGCCTTATCTTCTCAATAGAATCGTTGACGTTCAATCACATGAGCCTACACATTCCCGTTATCAGAATTCCTTTTTTAAACTCATATTTCGTGATTCAATAACAAGCAATTCTAGCGCTTAACTCAATACAGCTTATTATGAGTGCTATCGAATTACAGCATGTCTACGAGAAAAGTCAACAAATAGACTGATCTATTGTATTGTCTTACTGATTTTATTGGCTAATCGTTTTTCTGCTTTCATTCGCTTTGATAAATGAACGGACGAATATGATATTTTGTCATCATTGATACGAAAGTAAAGTAATCGTAAAAAATTTTTAATTATGATAATTTGAAAATATTGAAAACTAAATAAAACGATGAATTACAAATTCTCCTAGTAAAAATTATGGATACTGTGAATTTACATCAAAACATTTATATCAACGATTCTGAGCCATAGTAATAGATTTTTAGATACTTTTTTAACACCAACAAAAATAATCATTGGTTATATCTGTTGTGTTAGGAATTAGTCAGTGCATGATTTCAGATCCGTTTGCCGAGATTTGATTACCTGTCAGCTCTAAATTCTCTATATGAGTGGTTATACTTTTCATGTCGGAAATTTTATTTTCTTGTTGACCATTAAACGACAAGGACTAATTATACCGAGTACGAAATAAATGACCATCATCTTATTGATACTACTGGCTTATCGGTCGAAGATATATTTTGGTTCATATATTGTTAATCTTCCAATCGGTCTCAGTATTTTCAAAGATACTAATATTTCGAAAAAATGATGAATTATTATTTTCAAATATTTGACTCGCATGAAAATAGCCAAAAGAAGAAAGTCTTTGCCATTGAACAAACCAATATTCATTAGGGAATTAGCGTATCGTCCCACTAGGATGCGAATCATTAGGGTAGACAATTAGAAAAATTGATAAAAAATACTGAAAAAATCCTAAATTAAAATTAAATCAGACACGAAGCAGGTGCAAGCGAATTTCTTCGTGCAGTAAAAAATCGTTTATTGACTGCCTTGAAAATCTGTTGTCATGCTTATACTTATGTCTATCAAAATTAAAAGAAAAAAGATCTTCTTATATTAGAATGTTATCATATTCTATGGTCGCATTTTTATTACTGACAGGTTGCGTTTTTATGCTTACAGATTTAATCATTTAATAATTTGACACTTTTTTCTGCTATTTATATATCATGCAACATGTTATAAATGTAATTAAACTGTGTATTAGTATTGCTTCTCTGAGTTACTTTTTATTAAATTTATTTAGTTCATGTTAGCTTTCATTGATGAAAAAACAAAGCTATTTCTACGAACAATAAGAACTGAGAGAGAGAGAGAGAGAAGGATCTAGTCAATTTTTCTCTCGTTTCCCGACTAATCCGTCTCACTTTTTAACAATGCTCATGATGCATAAATGAAAGCTAACATGATAGTAAGGAATGTTTCCCGCTGCTTTTTTTTTCTTTCTTTCGTGCAATCGAGTCGCATATTTTTATTTTGCTTTACTCATAAGAATAGAGATGATCAATTTATGCTAATTTCTTTATCGCAAAGGTTTTTCAGTAACGGAAAAATGAGAAAGTATCTTTCGTAGGATGAGAATAATCAAAAGAAATACTTTAGGTTGGCTATTTATTTTTGAATTCAATATAAATTATTTCAGATAGCAATCTAATAACACTGGTTTATTTACAATATCCGCAATATTTGCATCCAAAAACATTTTTTCAATCATGGTTCCAATTAGTCTTCTTATTTTGGGCATGTTTGGTAAGTACAAACAAATGTTTTTAGAGCCTTTCCGTTTTCCGGCGATTAGTTGTTTCTTTTGTTCGCGTACGAATGATTTCCGTTAAATGATTCCTAATAACATTTTCATTCATAACTACTTCCATCGGTTAACTCGTCATCTTGATCTGTTAACAAACCATTGAGAAAATTGTTATTTGTCTTGAACGCGAATAAAATTCTCTGGTGAATAAGCTCATTATTACGATATTGACAAACGGAAAAAGAAATGGCCTTTTACATTTATCATACATCCGATTTTTTTTCTTTTGTCAAAGGAATCTTTATAGACGAGTAGCTGTCTAATTCGAGTTCGAATATAAATGGAGGAAAGAAAAAGTTAAACTAAAACTAAATCTAGGAATAGATTTAGTTTTACTTTAACGTTCCGATATATGCGACATATGAATACATTTATACCCCTACAACCACACTCACACCCCAAGGTATACAACTCAGGCATCACCCCGAGTACCCGCACCCACACCCAAATCTATGTAACGTATTTCTTCTTCTTCTTCTTCTTTAGTTATTAGTAGTATGGCAGCACCGTCAATGAACGACCGTCAAGAACTCTATCTTGATACTTGTCAAACAAGTTGTGGCTCAGTGAGCAGCAATGACGAAGCTGAAGCATGTCGTGAAAATTTTTGTCCTAACTATGTGACCTATTTATTAACAGGCTTAGTTGATGAGCACGCGAAACCTGCTCTTGCATCGAAAGATCGTAAAGAAGTAGGCGAATTTTGTGCCACGTGGATTCTTCACTTAATTCGTCAGCTTGGTTGGCAAAATCGTATTCATCTTGATCTCAACAACTGTATTTGCGCTGCTGGCAAAGATTGTTTTGTCAAATAAATAAAATAAAAAAACAAACATGTATCGAAAAGCAAAACAATAAACTATTTTTGTGTATAAACACTTATGTTTCGCATGCATCACAATAAATTTTCTCTCTTGTGAGTTGAATGAAATGCTAATCAGTAAAAGAAAACTGATCACAGGCACATTGCGACATCTACAATCTTTTTGCCCTCTGCAATATCAATTAACGATTGAGTCGTTGTTATGGTGATTCATCATATCGACTCCATGATACATTAAAAGAAAGCTTTCATACGCACTACTTTCAGACTAACAAAATTTTCAAAGATGAAAATCGAAGAAGTAAAAAGCACAACAAAAACACAACGTATATCAGCTCACAGTCATGTGAAAGGATTGGGCTTGGATGCTGACCAACGTGCTATACGTATTGCTGGCGGTCTTGTTGGTCAAGAGCAAGCACGCGAAGTTAGTCGTTGTTTGTCTCAGAAAAATCGAATATCAATGTATTTTTTATAGGCAGCAGGCATTATTCTCGAATTGATTCGTCGAAAGAAAATGGCTGGTCGTGCTGTTTTGCTTGCTGGGCCACCTGGCACAGGAAAAAGTAGGTGCTTTTCAAACGAATGAGAATTCTCGACTCAGATCTTGAGAATGTAATTTCATATTTCTTTTTTTCTTTTGATTAGCTGCTCTTGCTTTGGCCATTGCACAAGAACTTGGTTCTCGTGTTCCATTTTGTCCAATGGTTGGCAGTGAAGTTTATTCGACGGAAATTAAAAAAACTGAAGTTTTAATGGAAAATTTTCGTCGCGCTATTGGCTTGAGAATAAAAGAAATAAAAGAAGTTTATGAAGGTGAAGTAACAGAAATGACACCAACAGAAACTGAAAATAGTTATGGCGGTAAGTTCATATTTCTTTTCGGGCCAAAAAAGAATGATTCCCATTCTATAGGTTACGGTAAAACTGTTAGCCATGTTGTAATTGGTTTACGTACAGTAAAAGGCGCCAAACAACTTAAACTTGATCCATCAATTTATGAAACATTACAAAAAGAAAAAGTCGAAATAGGAGATGTTATTTATATTGATGCAAATTCAGGAGCTGTTAAAGTATAGTGAAAAGACTAATTTTTTGTCGGAAGTGAACTAAAAAGTTCCGTTCTTTCAGAGACAAGGTCGATGTGATGCTTATGCAACCGAATATGATCTTGAAACTGAAGAATATGTTCCATTGCCCAAAGGTGATGTTCATAAGAAAAAAGAAGTTGTACAAGATGTAACATTGAATGATTTGGACGTTGCGAATGCTCGACCACAAGGTGGACAAGATATTCTATCGATCATGGGCTCATTAATCAAACCTAAAAAAACCGAAATCACTGGTAAAAGATTTCCGTTTGTTTTAATCAAGAAAAAAATCAATGTCAATATTTTAGATAAACTTCGTCGAGAAATAAACAAAGTTGTCAATAAATATATTGATCAAGGTATAGCAGAACTTGTACCAGGTGTTTTATTCATCGATGAAGTTCATATGTTGGACATTGAATGTTTTACTTATCTACATCGAGCATTAGAAAGTCCACTGGCGCCCATTGTTATCTTTGCTACTAACCGAGGACGCTGCGAAATACGGTATGACATAATTAATTTATCTCATTTTTATATTTTCTATACAGAGGTACGGACATTCTGTCTCCGCATGGTATGCCATTGGATTTAATTGATCGAATTATGATTATTCGTACTCTTCCCTATGGAATGGAAGATATGGTTGAAGTAAATTTTCGTTTTTTTTTTATAAATTCACCTATTAAAAATCCACTTTTCAATCAGATTCTTCGAATCCGTGCCAAAGTTGAACATATTGATGTAACTGATGAATCTTTACAAACACTTGCTGACATTGGAAATGTATCAACATTGCGGTACAAGATTTTTATTCTTTTTCTTTTATAATAAAAATTCTGAATGTTTAGATATGCTGTACAATTAATGACACCGGCAAATATTCTGGCTCGAATAAATGGCAAAGATCAGATAGAAAAAGAAGAAATCGATGAAGTACGAGATCTATTTCTTGATGCAAAGTCATCCGCATTATTACTCAAACAAGAAGATGCGAAGTATATGAAATGATACTTGAGGATATTTTTTCTATGTTAGACATTTGTTAAAAAATAATTTGTTGGAAAAAATAAAACAAAAAATTTTGATAACAGTATAGCTGTTGTTGATGACAGAAACGAGATCAATGGTGATAATAATCGAGATGCTAAACAAACGATTTCTTTTATAGATAAACAATAAATTAGCAAAATCTATTTACCATTAAGTACTTGTGCATGGCAAAGAGTTGTAAATATATAAGAAATTAGAATATCGTAATAATCACGATGATCTGGACTCCATATGAGCAATGGCAAGATAAATAATTGGCCAATACTTGAAAGAACAAGTGCACGAAAGAGAAGAATTGATCTAGCGAAATAGAGATTATGTCATCATGAGAAACTAAATGAATAAAGAATCCGATTATAGTCACGTTAAGAGATATGCCAGACCACTTTTTTTTGCCCCGATAATTCTACTGCCTGTGTCCATTTAGAGAAAAAATGTTGTAGAATTTCTTCGTCAATACTCGTGATCACGTTGCAGATAATGAGAAGCTTTTTTTCATGATTTCTGTTAGAACAGGAGTGTTTTGATAGTTGAAATCCTTTAAAATGTTCTTTATCTCAATTTGTTTCCGAAAACTGTTTTTTTTATATTTCAAACTCCCTTTATGCCTTAGACAGATACTTATATGCCGAAAAATTAAACGTTTCTCGTAGGAACAAAGGTTCATTTTTTTGTAATTTTCTATATTTAGTGTACGCACTTTTCTTTCGTCCAATCTTGTCTATATTCAAGCATTGATATAATTAATATAAAACCAAATCGTACTGCATATTCTATAGAGAGAAAAAATGACATCTTACGGCACAAAAAAAGGAATTGTTTTACCAAGAAATGATTCTATCAGTTTCACATAAAAACCATATTCAAGCGCAAAGAAAATATTGTGATCATGATTAATGATCGATTGATATTGATCATTTTTTAGATGGAACCACTTAATATAAGCATTAGCCAGAATAAATGCAAAACATAATTTGATAATGTGCTGCAGAGAAAAATGAATTCGTTTTTATAAAAAAAATACTTTAGTTGGAAATGTTTCGTTACGTTATATTTGATTTTATCAATATTAAATAGGACATGTCGATGTGCTCGTAGTTTAAGTAATACAAAATCAATAAATACAAGTAAATCATCTAGTTCAATATAAGGATCAACAGGATTCTGGCATTGTTTCTATAATTAAGTAAACAATTTGTTGGTCTTCAACCGATTATTTTGTCTTACACAATGAATAATTTTTATAACACCTTCTTTATAATGGTGTGAAAGTTCATCAGTGGCAGTACCACAAGTAACACAACAATATTTTGTAGTCGAATGGTCTTCAGATTTTTTAGAAGATTGAGCCATGAATTCTTTTTTTAACGGAAATTTGACGAAAAATTAAATCAATCAAAGTACCCTTACTTGCATACGATGATAAAGCTAACGAATGTTTCATTCTCTAGACAGATGACGCCATGTTTCGGCTACTATCGAATATACTGATGTGAATAGTTTGTCACTGAGGGTGTGGGTGCGGGTCTTCGCTTGGGATCCGCACCCTGTGCACGATCCTATTTATCGAGGCCTGATTAATGATGAAGAAGTAAAACGAACATGCTGCTTGATTCGGTTAACATCAAGTATTGAAAACTACAATTTATTCATCAATATTTTTCATTTCATTGTTCCGTTCGGGCTTAAACTTATCTCAACTGTTGGTATCATTCTTTGTATTGCTGAGAAACGGGGAACAGTGCATAAAAAAAATAATCGTATGCAAAGAGTTTACAGGAACAGTTTCTTAAACATAAAAATCTGATTATTAATTCTATATTATTGGTTATTTTAGCTTTACCTCGGCTGATTGTATCTTTCTCGTCTGGATGTATGAAATCAGCAAGAGAACCATCATTATTCTTGACTAGATACTTTGTTTCATTCATTCCATCGCTACTCCTATTTTTTTTATTTTTGTTACAAGTATTGCTTTTGTTTGCTTTCAATAAAAAAAAACACAATTTAGGCACACCGAAGTAATTCAATTAAATAAGCAGATCTCTCCAATGAAAGTTAGCTCATAGCTCGAGTAGGCTTCCTATGGTTAAATTCGCTAACGGAAACAATGCGCACTCAGCCCTGTGGATACCTCTTCGTCACACCATCGAGTTCAGCAGCAAATTATAACGATAGCAGTAAACATTGTGTTTATATTTTCTTACAAACATGATTTGATTAGGGAACAAAACACATTGGGGAATATGCAAAGCATTAACGGAAAAGTAAATTTATATAGGGTCATTAGTTGATTTCGAAAATTCTGCGTGGGGTGTGGGTGTGGGTGTGGATAAAGAGAAAAGTAAAACCTCCTTGCCACACCCACACCCACACTCTTTGTGATTTTGTTTTGGTCGAAAAAGTGCCTGTGGTCATCCTCAGGGTTTGACATGGAAAAACATTTTGCTTCCAAGGCTTCACTGGTTGAGTCTGGGCAGCTGAAATCTGCATAGATGAGATACTAACAGTGAACCTAACTAACCTCTGTAGATTTCGTTAAAATCGGCCGGACACACTCAAGGACCTTCCCTCGTTAGTAAAGGGCCTGTTAAAAATAGTGAAAAAACATTCATAATTGCGATCTTTATTGTGTTTTTGAAAAAGAAAATCGTTTTTTTAATTAATCTAAATCAAACAAGGGGTTAGTAAAAACGAATTTCAAGTATTCATAATTGAAGCGGTGTTATAATTTTATTAGAATCTATTATATTAAGCGAAGAGAAAATATTAGATATTTGACGCTGGATGGTGCAATCACTTTTAATCGAGATGACATTGGATACTTGATTCTAATCTTGTGGTTAGCTTCAATAGAGATGGTAGATAAATATGTGATATCTGGTTTTCTGCTATAGTCGAACCTCTTTTTTGCAAGCGCATGCAATTCTTGACCTTCTTGATCAAGAAAGTCATGCACTATGAACATATCTTGAGCTCAAGTCTTGACAAGTGCATGAATGAAAATGTTTGACTACGGCGGTTACTTGTAATAGAAACAGTACGTAAATGTTTGCTATTCGCTTTTTGCTGCATTTGAAATGATGCACAAAGATAAATATATGATATCCCCTGAGAATTTGAAACTGTAGGTACGAAGTAAGCATGCTGTATATGTTGAGAATTTGAAATCATACGTACAAAGTAAATATCTGATGTCTGGTATCTGCTGAGAATTTGAAATTATAGGGTTCTAGATTCTAGTGGAATTCGCTAAATTTAATGTCGATTTCCGATTCGCAGAATTTTTCAAACTTTTACGCTTTGAAAATTTGAAATTGAGAAAATTCTGACACACTTATTCTAAAATTAGTAACAGTTTAAGATTTGGCACTGTATGGTTGAAAATTTCAATTTTCAACTGATTTCAGGTTTGACACTACTGGAAAATCCAAAAAGTTCCGGAATTTGTTTTTCGAAATTGAGAAAAAAATCGAGAAAAACTTTGAAAATTCAGTAAAACTTTCGAAATCTGGAATTTTTTCACAAGATGTGTGGATCTGGCAACACTGCCTATTTTACTTGACAAGAACTCGGTGATCATCTGTTAAATGAACCAGATCTTTCGAAACATGTATTCGATTGTTAGATTTAAGTAGAGTCACATCGCAAAAGTGCCACGAATTGCTGAATAAATTGCAAGGGGAAAACAGCAGACTCCAACTCCTCGGAGTCAGGTGGAGTCATCCGGAATCACATGGAGTCAGCTGGTTGCATAGAATCACATAGGATCCCAGGGAGCCATGCCTAAACACGAGGAGCCACAGTAAGTATCGCAAAATCACTGTTGATCTCGAAAAAATTATTATAGAAATGGGAAACTGATACATTTTTACTTTTTTCTGCCATATGTATCATTATATAAAATAGTTATTAGTCTCCTTCTTTGTCGGAAATTGTCCAAAAAAACGTCCCATAACAGAACAATATTACTCAGTACCCGGAAGTAGACTTCCCAAAGCTGAACTGTTTATTCTGTAATGGAAATTCAACTTCCGGGTACTGAGTCATACTGTCAAGAAGGAAATGAGAGACTCCATCTTCTTGGAGTCAGACGGAGTCTGCTGTTCCCCCCTTGGTAAGTTGGCTAAGCAGTTTTTCCATGTATTCTAATGAACACGTTTTAATTATCTATTTAAATAAACCTTATGGAATCAGCATTCTATTTTCAATTTACATCGTCTATAAGGAAAATTTTCAACATCAATCCCATTATAGGAATGGGAGGTTAATGCATCTATTAGTGAACAATCGGCAGTTATCAGATGAAAATCATCGAATGACTGTTCAATGTAAAAAAAAACACTCCTGATTTTTCTTCTGATTTAGGAAGACAATTTCCTGATTTCTAAAATTTGAATTTGGTAACCCTGATTCACATCTTTAACCTTGGCTTGTCTAGAATATCAAATTGATATAAATTACACCTTCATGCACAGAAAGTAGGAAAAAATTGTTCAATAGAACTTCGAAATGGGTTCTGATAATAAAAGTATATTTTGTCGCCAGTAAAATTTTTACATGATTTAATGATGGGTTCTTTTGTCTAAAAATTCAATTGTAGTTGTTTAATAATCGATGTCATACACACATGCCATTTGTTTGGTGCAAATCCATAAGAAAAAGAATCGTTAAATTATAACAATCGGAATTAATATTCTTTGATAGGTCGTCTATTTGTCATAGATTTCGTTCAAAGCGATGCTCTTTTCTACCGTTCTCGCTGTGCTTTTGTTAAAAAAGTCATATTTATATTTCATCTTCATAGTTGAATTTATTCAAGACATGAAAAATCATCTCTGCTGATGTATTTTTTTTCCATTTCTTTTCATTTGTCTATGGCATATGATCTAGTTAATGCCATGCCTTTTAAGTAATTAAGAACTTTTTTATTTTATTAACCTACTTTGAATAAAACAACAAGATTCTATCCAGTGTTTAAATAATATAAGAATGTTAGTTGAGAATTACTTCAATATTTGAATTATTAAACATTAAATAGCTTTTATATCATTTACGATTTGTTCTTCATACAAGTCTTCCGGTCTATAATTAATGCCGCTTTTTTGATCTAACAAAAAGATTGGTAGTTCTATGTTCTACTGCAAAGAGAAGGAGAAGCCAGTTTTCAATCATAATGAAATCTATACTATTTGATGTTTTTACGATATCGCTTCTATCTCCTTGACCCAATGAACGATCTTTTCTTCATTGAAAGCAACAATAGCATGTTACGTCTATGCCGTTCTATACAATCAAAAATGAATTGTATTATATGATTTAGATTTTACCATCGAGTGACAATAAATCGATCTTTCGGTTTCGATAGAAAAATCGATGGCCGTCTTACCAGTAAAATATCTGATAAGAGACTCTTGTCGTAAAACGCTTGCGTATTATGCAATAGATTTTTATTCTGCCTAAAAAAACGTTTCTTTTCGTTTTCGCTGAATAAAACAAAGAAAAGATAACAAACGATGCTTCAGACTTCTCTTATCTCTGATACCTTGCTGTCTGCAAGTGACTACACGATAGTGATTACTATACTTCACTTTGTAATTCTTGTCAATCAAAACTAATCTTTTAATGAAGTTATTTTTCTATATACTGAAGCATGATACGAATATTTGCTTTATACGAGTGAAGTGCTGTTGTTATTACTGGCTCAAACTTGATTTGTTAATCATGAATGCATATGCTCCATGGAAATTAGAGTTATTTTTGGCTGAAACGTTAGCATTCATGCATATAAGTTAATATTTTTCTTCCACGTCAAATTTTAAACTGCAATTGCACTTAACTTGTTACCTATTTGAGCATACTCTAAAAACATTGCATCATATTCGATAAAGAAGTAGAATCGAGAAAATTTTCTCGGCTCTCAATAGGCTCAAAGAACGTTCAAATATAAATAAGATCAAAAGGATTTTTTTGGTAGAAATTATATTTTAGTGAAATTTATGTGAAGAGGTTTATTGTTCTGTTGACGCTCAATAACGATGGCCGAGGATGTTAATATTAGTTTTTCTTTTATAGAATTAATACTGAGAACAAAACCTTGAAGATAGTAAACGGGTAATTTGAAGGATTACAATTCTGCCACAGCATTTTCACTTATCTAAAGTTGTAAATCTCAACTAGGTTTACAATCACGATAAAATATAAATACTTTGGCGCTTATTGAGGGTTTGATAGTAGTTTACAACATCAGCAGCATTGAAATTTACTCGTGCCTCTAGAAAAAAAAACTCGATTCATACGTAGTTACTAATGAATCAAATCTTAGTCTTGTTTTTCTATTTGAACTAGCTATTGATTTAAAGAAATTATTATTCTCTTCCAGTGAAACTCCAAAAGTTCGGTGTTTCTCTTTCATCGCTTGCCTACACAAAACAGCATCCGTTGTTGACCTTGACAATCATCAATTCAAAATCGAAACTATCTGCTTATGATCACCTCAGCGTAGCCTATCCAATCGCATTGAAATCAATGAAAAAACAATCCTTCACAAAATAAAAGTGTATCCAGCTCACTTCGTAATACTTCATAAAAAAATCAATGAGTAACACCAATCGAAAAGAAAAAGAATTACTCATCATGTACGTAATTTATTTTACTAATGCTTCCTGTTGCTAGTGACTGTATATCGAATTTGAAACATTATCAATCGGTTACATACTACGTATACTGATTTGCTGAGCATATATTTACCTGCAGAACGCAAATGACTTCTTTTAAAACTACAAATATTGACGTACACTTTATGCATGTATCATGTGCGTAATTTATTCGTTTATCTTCGATCAGACACAAATATTCAAAAATATAATCATATTTCAATTAGAACGATTTAGATAAATAATATCTGACGAATACATTTGGTTTTGTGTGTCTGAAATAGAAAAGAAAACAAAGAAAGATCAAAATGGTCTGACGCTATTACAGTGTTTTTGATGCGAGCTGTCGCATTAATGAAAGAAATATATTGATAAACCGTTTAGTATCTATTTTTTCGTCTTCCTTTTGACAAGTATCTAACAGCTGTGATGATTTATTAGCCAGTTCATCGCCTTGAATATGCGATGATACACGCTCCGACAGAACTGTCCTTGGTATACATTTGTTTTTCTGTCCTTTTTTGCGCTTCTTTTTTCTTCTTCGTCTTCTTCGTTCTGATGTAAAAAGAAAACAATATGCAAAACTAAGTGATGCCCGTTAGTTGTCATCAACTACTAGGGATGACAAATAGAAACCATAGTTAAACAATCAACATTTGTCATGACGACATGTAACCATAATGTTCGTCACGAACGACACTAAACAAAGTAAAGAAGAAAAAAAAAGGAAAGGAAAAAAAAAGATATATATATATATATATATAGATATAATTTTGAGTTGTCGCCATTTTATGACTCGAGTTTGACTTTCTCTCTCTCTCTTGTTTTGCCAAATTGTATCAGGTAACAAAAGTTGTATAATGTGTAACGGAATAGTCAAACAACAACAAGGCAACGACGATAAAGATTACGAGTCTTATAAAAAGCAAATGAGAATCTTGCTAGCGATAGAGCGAGATAAGGCATTTATCCTGATTCATACTATAGAATGCGGTCAATACGATGCGTCATTCCTTTACACTATTGAGATACATATATAAATATGTGAGTGAACCTTTCCTTTATAATATTAGTAATACGATTTTACCGACGATATATTATTTTTCTTTTTTGAATAAAAAAATCGAGTCGGATTATAGGTCGTGTATGTTGAGTTACGCATAATGAAGGATTTAGAAAAAGTATGCAAATGACATAAAGCTCAACAGGCTTTGAAATGTATGTAAAGGTTAAAAAAATGCATGGACTGAGTTTTTTAATTTTTACATGAAAGCCATTGTAATAGACATGACTTACTGAAGCATTTTAGAGGAAAGAAAGAAAAAAAGCGCATAGGATGGCACAGTCTTTTATGTTCTTCATCTTTAATAGAAGAAAAAAAACGGAGGATGTAATAAAGCAACAAACGGTCGAGCCCTATTATTTTATTGATATAAAGGGCAAAGTGAAGTTGATTTTTTTTCTTTTTTTTTGTTTGAAAAAGTCTCTTCAAATCGATTGCACCCCACCCACAACTATTGCATGATTAAGAATATTCCGTCTTTAATTTCGTAACAGAAGCCTCTAGTAACTTTTTCTTGCATACCTTATTATAACAAAATGCATTTATAGAAAGATGCCCTCTGTTCCAGTTGAATGAACCTGTCGGACAGACGAGTGTTTTTTCTCTCTTTTTCTTTTGTGCATGAGTAGCCAAATGTGATTAGAAAGAAAAAAAATTGTGATATTGGGTCGTTAAGATAGAAATTTTTTTTATCATATGAATTACAAGATCGTAGTGCGTCTGAAACTAATATAAGATAGGAGTTATCTTTACTTACTGTGTACACACAATGAATCATTTAATTCAAATAAATATTTACCAATTTTCTATCTCTTTTTCATTTTAGTTTTAGTTTTTTGTAACTTATCTAAATTCTATTATTGTTATGGGTGGTAGTCTAACTCATTCCGACTTTCACTGGGTATATAACGATGAGCCACATACAACCCGTCGAAGAGAAATGCTACGTATGTATTCATTTGCAAGTCTTATTTTGAATAATATTCGTTTGTTTTTTTGTTTTTTTTTATAGAAAAATATCCCCAAATCAAACAACTTATGGGACATGATTGGCGTATTGCTGCTCAAGTTGTTGTCACTGTATTTATTCAGATCATAATGGCCATTCTAGTTCGAGATCTAGACTGGAAATATGTATGGCTGTTAACATATATCATTAGTGGTACACTTAATCATTCACTTTCGATTAGCTTTCATGAAAGTATGAAATAATTAGGAGAAAATAAAAACAAGAGTACTCTAACATAATTGCTTTTCTTCTTCTTCTTCTTCTTTTAGTTGGTCATAACTTAGCTTTTGGTAATCTTAAACCTACGGCTAATCGAATACTTGGATATATAGCTAATTTACCATTGTGTATTCCGTCATCTGTTACATTTAAAAAATATCACATCGATCATCACAAGTAAATTTCGTAAATTTCAATTCAGAGAAAATATGTTTTCCCATTAGATTTCAAGGCGATGATTTACTAGATCCAGATCTACCAACATATTTTGAAGTATGGCTGTTTCGATCGCCTATTGGTAAATTTTTCTATATTGTCGCACAACCAATACTCTATTCTGTACGACCACTTCTTCGTGTACCAAAGCCAGTAACATTACTTGAAGCAATCAATCTTGTTATTGAATTGATTTTTGATGCAACTATTTTTTACTTTCTGGGATATAAATCATTGGTTTATTTATTTTTTGGTACTGTACTTGGCCTTGGTTTTCATCCAATATCTGGACACTTTTTATCTGGTTAGATTAATTACTTTTATATTATAATCTTAATATTTCATTCTCTTCGTTTTTTTTTTCTTTCTTCTAGAACACTATACATTTGTCGAAGGCTATGAAACTTATTCGTACTATGGGCCACTAAATTATTTGACATATAATGTTGGTTATCATAATGAACGTACGAATATTCTTTTATATGAATTTCGATTCGCAATAATTTCTTCGTTTGTTTATAGATCATGATTTTCCTAATATTCCTGGTTATGCATTACCAAAAGTAAGCATTTCGATGATTATTCTCAATTAATCTCTTTGCTTTTTTTTATTTTAATAGTTGAAGAAAATTGCTCCGGACTATTACGATAATTTGCCATGTCACTATTCATGGATTCGAGTGCTATACAATTTTATAGTTGATCCACGATTAGGACCACAATCTCGTATTCGTCGTTCAGTACGTTCAGATGCATTAAAATTAAATAATGCTATTGACTTAAAAAACAAATCGAAAGTAAACGAAGTCCTTCATGATGTTATCGACAATAACAACAATACTCATTCATTGCCACACTTATCGAAAGAAGAAAGAAAATTACTTTATGTTAAAAAGCATTCGGGTAAAAAACAAACAGGAACATCTTCAAATATCGAACAAACATCGACAGTCAACACGAATGGAGATCATCCAAAAACTGAATAATACTCTGCATATAAGAAAAAAGCACCTAAACGCATGTGTTTTTATGTTTTTGTTGTGTGCACTTGCAATTTTCTTGTTCTAAAACACCGCATGTTTTTCGCTGGTAATGAAGAAATCTCAGAGATTATATTTTTTTATGTAAAGGACAATATCTTTTCGACCAGTAGAAAACATTTCCTACGACAATTTAAATTTATGTCCCATTTTTAAAGTCAATTCATTGGTATTTATTAAAATTTTTTAAAGTCAATTTTTATTAAATTTCACCACATGACTACTCATGTCAGCGAATATTCTCAATATTATGTTAATTTTTTTAAGTAGGCCTCAATAAATAGAATAAAAAAAAGTTAATATTGTCCTTTACATACATGATTGATTGTTTTTCTCTGAGATATCTGAAGAAAAACTTTCTAAGGTGTCTATCTTACATTCCATTGGATGAGAAATTCTTAGAAGCCAAAATAAAAATATAAAACTAAGTACAACTGCGTTCTTTATATATTTTTTTTCCGTGTCAATTTGTCATACTTTTCCGTCCGTATACGAGTGTATTGTGTTTTTTTCTTAATGTCTTAGAATTATCTTTGTTATTGTGCCAATAAAGATTTGTTCACAAATTTAATTGCTTCTTTCTTTTAATTCACTCGTAGCACAATTAGTGTATAGATTTTTATTTTTTGCTACTCAACCGTATAAATAACAAAGGAAGACTAGAGCAACAAATCAAATAGGTGGAAGACTTGATACATGGACAGAGTTTGAAAGTTATGCCGCACAGATGACATAACAGAACAACGCGCACGACACAAAATAAAGCACAAGTTAAGGATAATAAAAAAAAAGATGCCACTTTGTGTTTGTGATTGATTTTCTCAAAGAAGAGATGAGAAACAGAAAGAAGAAGTTTCGAGAGATGTTTTAAAATGAATGCAAGATGAACAAAAAAGAATCTGACACAACAGAAGGAAAGATATTATAATCAAACATCGACTATCATGCAAGCATCAAAAATACCATCTATGCTGAAAACACCATGATATATCAGTTATCATAAATCAATCAGATTTTCATGACTGTCAATTTAAGAGAAACAAAAAACGACGATTTGAATATTTGTTGCTGTAGTAGTTTCTCTAGTTAGTCACGCTTGTGAGCTTCTTTCACAATTGTTTTCAATTTTTGTTCATATTCTTGTTGGCTTACGACTGGTTCAACGCCGAGTTTTGTAGGTCGAACTACACGTGCCCAAGGACCAACATTATCATTCATGACAAAATCGTAGAGTACTTTAACCCAACTAGACAATAATTAAAAAATAGTAAGACATCTGTTTTAAAATAGTTTTAATCAAATTTGAAAAAAAGAAGAATACCCAGGTCGAACAATCATATTGTAAGATCTGATAAGATCTTGCACGATCATACGAAAATCTGACAAAAAATCGTCGTTCCTGAGATTTGAGGTCAATTCATACAATCAGATTCTTGAAAGATCGTATAACTACGATTTTTTGTCAGATTCTTGTAAGATTTCGCTCGTATTTCAAGATATTGTGTCAGATTTTTCAACCTGGGTATCATCTATCTACGGTCTTTCAATGGTTAATAGATATCTATGTTAGTATGTGACATTCAATTAAGCAAAATTTTCATTTTCAATTCTTGAAGCTTGAATCATCATTGGGATTTCCAGGTTTGGAAAAGCAAAATGGGTGACTAAGTTTTACGCAGGTAACTATAAGTTGGGAAAAGCTTTACATAATACAAAAATCCCGAGGGAACGAATTTCAATCGATGCTTTCCCTAACTGCATATAACCTAGGGAGAGTAAAACATGACACCTTCGTTCTCAATTCGTCGACTGAATAATCCATGTGAAAATTTTCGTGTTATACAAATCTTTATCAGGCGAGTAAATGTTACTTATTTCTAAATGCTTTTAACAGATAGATATCGAAAAGGTTAAAATTTAACCTTTCCTAATCCCTCGAGCCGTGTAACTAAGACCCTCTCATAACAGTAGATATTTTGTCAATAATCAGTAACAGCTTGATTCGACATAAAATTACGTGAGAAATGAAGTGATTCAAAATTTGGCAAACATAGCTAAATTGTGCTTTATGTTTTTTAATATCTATAAAACAAATTAGTGAGATTCTATCAAATCTGAGAATATATTTAGCTGTTAGCAGTTAGTTGAAAGCATATTTAGACCACAACCAACCAAAACTTACAGTCACAAAATGACGAAAGTCCTCTTTAAGCTCATTGATCACAGATAAACTCAAAATTCTGATATTCATTCTCTTGCAAACAAAGAGAATAAATGTCTTGAAATGAGTTTTTTCTTTTTCAACTTCATTGAGTAAACACTTACCTTGTGTAAGATGGAAGATTATCATAATATTCAGGAGCAATTTTGCGTACTTTAGGTAGATTTCTACCCGCGATATATGGAAAATCATGATCTAAACAAAGACGATTGACATGAAAATTAAACTAAATTATCCAGTAATTTCTTTACGTTCGTTATGATATCCAACATTATAGGTAATAGCATTTAATGGTCCATAATATGAATAAGTTTCAAATCCTTCTTTGAAGACATAATGTTCAGCAATGAAATGTCCCGAAATAGGATGAATCGAAAGGCCGAGTATAGTACCCAGAACGAAATATGATGCTGTTTTATGACCAAAATAATAGTACATTATTCCATTAAATACTATCATAATCATAATGTTAACTAATTCCAATACGTGTATTGGTTTTGGAAAAACGAATACAGGTCGTAAAGAATAAAGAAATGGCATTATGATTAAGAAGAAAAATTTTCCTATACGTGATGAAAATAAAAACACTTCAAGACGTGTTGGAATATCCGTATCATATACTTCGTCACCTTGAAATCTAAAGAATATTATCAGATAACAGAAAAAAAATGAACTTTGTTTTTTTTATTATGTTTACCTATGATGATCAAGATGATATTTTTTAAATGTAATCGATGCTGGTACACCTAATGGAATATTAGCAAAAAAACCTAATAGACGATTAGATATTGGCCATGAATGACCAAATGCTAAATTATGCGTTAATTCATGTAAAGCTAATGACAATGTATGATTTATTGTACCACCAACAACGTAAGCAACAAAAAGTAATGTTGACCAAGATGCATCTTTGAGAAGTATTCCCACAGTTATTTGTATTATTACAGATATAACAACTTGTATTGCCATACGCCAATCGGGTCCCATTAGTTGTTTTATTTCAGGATATTTTTCTAAATAACAAGATTAGGTAAATAGACGTCTTTTAAACTAAATCCGATTAGCTTACGAAGCATTTCTTTTCGACGTGTGGCATGTGGTTCATCGGTATATGAATGATAAAAAGCATGAGTTGTTATATATTGCCCCATCGGCTTTTCTTCTTATTCTAATATTTAAAAATCTAGTAGAAAATCTAAAAAAGACTGACATTTTATAATATTATACAACATTGCGTCTTATATCAACACGTCTTCTATACCGCTAAGAACGATTAAATTACCCTCGAACTCATCTTTCTTTTTGTGAGTGCGAGTCCAAAGTTGATGCGCATACACTTTAGAGAACAGTTAAATGCTGATAGGTAGATAATGATTGTTCGCAAACATTCTACTTCGTTCTTTGTCTTTCGATGTTGGTACGATCGAACAATTATTATTTGTGTCCTATTTGATGATTCAGTTTATTATTTGCATATAAAAACGAAACTACTCTAGAGACATCTAGCAAAAACTTCTTGGCAAAGGCAATGAAGAATTTTTTATTGGCCTTTATATTAGTTGGGAAAGTGTGTGTGAGTGCAGTGCAAGACTGAAAAGCACAAGACCGAAATAAATAAATAAACCATATTGAACATGGCATTGAATAACGGTTTGGAAGAAGAACAACAACAACAGAACGAAATTGAAAATTCAGGTGACGATGACGTTGATGAAACTGGCAAACTTGATGATCAATCAGATGTGAAAGCAAAAAAGAAGCGAAAGAAGAAGAAGAAAAACAAAGGTAAAATGAATTAATTAATTATTTAGGAAGAAATTTAACCGGCTAATTTTTAGGTCAAGCTGCTACCAACGAAAATAATACAGAAGCAGATCCGGTTGCAAATGAAACAGAAGCGATAGCTGCGTTATCTGTTCAACAAGATGGTTTAGGTTTTTGTTTTGTAGAAAAAAATAAATCTTCACATTGACTTTGATTTAGATGATGAAAAAGACGAAGAAGGTGGCGACGGTGATGAAACGAAACCAGCTGCTAAAAAGAAGAATAAGAAAAAGAAAAAAGGTAATTTTTCCTCTCATCTCTATGAGGATTTAAATTAAAAAAAGTTGTTTTAAAGCAGCAGCAGCAGTTGTAACAAATGGTATTCATCCGACTGTATCTTGCCTTCAGCAAACAAATCCACCGTCGATACCTATTTGTGAATTGTTTCCAGGCGGAAATTTTCCTGAAGGGCAGATTCTTGAACATCCGACTCCAAAAGTTCCACCAACCGATGGGTAAAAGTTTAGCTTTAAATAAATATTGTTTTTTTTTTTTATTCCTATTCAAATTATTAGTTCACTTGCTATCAATCGTACGACAAGTGAAGAAAAACGAATGCTCGATATGGCACAAACAGAAATCTATCGTGAATTACGTCAAGCCGCTGAATGTCATAGACAAACAAGAAAATGGGTTATGAGTTGGGTTGAACCCGGCATGAAAATGATCGATATTTGGTAGGTTTTGTTTTCAAATTAAATTAATTATAATTCACGTTCGTTTGTTTTCTCTCCATAGCGAACGATTAGAAAATATGAATCGGTTGTTAATAAAAGAAAAAGGTCTTGAAGCTGGTTTAGCATTTCCAACAGGTAAAATTCATTTAATGAATTTTATCCCTTTCTGATTTTACTAATGTTTTTCTTGTAAAGGTTGCTCACTGAACAGTTGTGCTGCACATTATACACCAAACAATGGTGATAATACAATACTTCAACGTGATGATGTATGTAAAATTGATTTTGGTACACATATCAATGGTCGAATTATTGATTGTGCATGGACAGTTGCATTCAATCCAAAATACGATGAATTGCTTAAAGCCGTTCGCGATGCGACAAATACAGGAATACAAGTAGAGAGAAAAATATTTAATTTGTTTTCTTGACGAAAATTCTTTTTAAGACTGCTGGTATTGATGTTCGTCTATGCGATGTTGGCGAAGCAATTCAAGAAGTTATGGAAAGTCACGAACTTGAACTTGATGGAAAACTTTATCCAAGTATGATTTGCTTTCTAGCCCGGGCATTGTACAGCATACGATAATAACTTACTATATTAATAATTTAACAAAGCCAAAAACTGTTGTTCTTCTTTTATCTTATAGTCAAATCTATTCGTAATCTGCAAGGTCATCTTATTGGACAATACCACATTCATGCTGGCAAATCAGTTCCTATTGTTAAAGGCGGTGAAGCAACTCGTATGGAGGTAATTCATTACTATATGAAAAAAAGTCTATTTTTTAATGTATTAACATTTTCAGGAAGGTGAAATCTATGCTATCGAAACATTCGGTAGTACAGGCAAAGGTGTTGTACACGATGACATGGAAGTATCTCATTATATGAAGAATTTCGATGCTGAACAAGCAAACGTCAGGTAAATTTCAACAACAAAATTTATTTCCCATTTGTTTATATTTTTCCATTTATTAGAAATGCTAAAGCAAAACAATTATATAGCACAATAACAAAAAATTTCGGTACATTAGCTTTCTGTCGTCGGTGGTTAGATCGTTTAGGTGAAAGTAAATATTTACTGTCACTAAAAAGCCTTCTCGACGCTGAAGTCGTTAATCCATATCCACCCCTATGTGATATAAAGGGTTGTTACACAGCGCAATTCGAACATACCATTATATTAAGACCTACATGCAAAGAAGTCGTTAGTCGAGGTGATGACTATTAAGCATAACTTGTAGTTTATTTTTTTTCACTTTGTACTCGAAAGTATTCTTGCATGTTTTTTCGTTTTCTGTTTTGTTCAACATTTATTTATTGCGTGATTTAAGAAAGACAGCAGAAATTCATGTGTTGACATCATTCTTCTTTTAAAAGAAAACCAGAAAGTTCCCACGTTTTTCAGATGGTTGTTTATAATTTATACATCTTCAGCCGAACCGGGCAATGTTTGTTCTATCGTGAATGGCTGCGAAGACAACAAACGAATATGACACAAGATGAAGTGAGTTATTTTAAATTGTACAATCGCTCAATTCTATTTTTTTTTATTAGGAATTTAAATTAATGAACGGTTTTATATATTCGGTGAAATCTTTTGTGCGACGCCTATCACCTACAGATTTGTATGTAGATTTTTATGGTTTCTCAATAAACTCATTATATTATTTTTTCAGCAAAGATGGCTTTCTAAGTTATAAAACAAATTGTTATAAGCTGCATTATTATGAAACGCTAACGGGATTGAAATTTATTTTAAATACAGATAGCAATGTTGGCAATATTCGTGATATTTTACACCAATTATACAGTACAGTAAGCATAGTCGAACGGATGATAAACAAGACAAATTTTCGCCGTATTCTTTTTTTCTTTTAAATAGATATACGTCAATTATATTCTTAAAAATCCTCGTTCTTCGGCGTCGGATGTAATAACTAATGAACAAGAGATATTTATTGAAAAATTAGATGAATTTATAAGTAACTTATCGATTTTTTCGCAAACAAATAAAGCGTGATTGTCTATGTATTCCTTCGTTTTTCAAGAATGAAAATTTTCTAAAATTCATTAAATAAAATTTTCAATTTTTCAGATTTCAATGAGTTCGATCCGTGAAGCATCACATGCTGGAAGTTGGTATGAATCTGATGGAAACTGTCTCGATCAACAATTATCAGCATGGCTTACAGAAGCTAACGGCAGTACAAATAGTCGACTAAAAGCTCGTGCTATCATTGCACCACATGCCGGATATACTTATAGTGGACCAACAGCTGCATATGCGTATAAATCAATTGATCCGACAGATATCGATCGTGTATTTCTTCTTGGTCCATCGCATCATTATAGCTTAAATACGTGCGCATTAACTACCCATGCATTCTATGAAACGCCCTTGTATAATATTAAAATTGATGCGCAAATATCAGGTGAACTTCATAAGACAGGCCTCTTCTCGCTTATGAACAAACAACAAGATTCCGATGAACATTCATTGGAAATGCATTTACCATATATCGCAAAAGTTTTTGAAAAGTAAGAATTTCAATTGCTTGATGAAAAATTCTATTTTTTTGCTTCAGAAAAGGCAAAGACTTTCAATTAATTCCAATCCTGGTTGGTTCCCTTGATTCATCAAAATTAGAAAAATATGGGCAATTACTAGCACCGTATTTATGTGACCCAAGAAATTTATTTGTTATCTCATCGGATTTTTGCCATTGGGGTAATTGAGATATTTTAGTTTTCTTCAAAATCAATGTTTTGTTTTTAGGCCGACGATTTTCCTATACTCCACATAATCCTGAAGATGGTGAAATCTGGCAATATATCGAAAAATTAGATCATAAAGGAATGGAATTAATAGAAAAATTGAGCTTACCTGATTTTCATTCGTATCTCCGTTCAACTGATAATACAATATGTGGCCGATATCCAATAAGTCTTTTACTAGCTGTATGTTTTACATCGAATCCCGACTGAAATATTATTTCTATCTCGTTCATTTTAGGCAATTGAACAAAGTAAAAAGGTCGTCCCGTCAAGTCAATTGCCAAAATTCTCTATGCAATTTGTCAAATATGCTCAATCGAGTCGTGTGAAAAAATCAAACGATTCAAGTGTTAGTTATGCATCGGCTGTTCTGACTCTTGTTGGATAAGATACTTTTTAGAGACATTCATTATTTTTTGTCGTGAATTACTGTTCATTATGCTTTTCATTGTTTGATCATCATTATTAACTCATATCTATTTATAATAAATACAAAAAAACACAAGAATTCGTTCTCGAAAATGAACTATTAGGGTTGAATTATTTTTCATTACAATTTATTCAAAACAAACACTGTTCAAAAAAAAAGATTCGAGCACAATTAAAAAATCATCAAGTGTTTCATGTAATCAGCATCTTTGACCTATCATTGGATGATTTCAGTTTTTTCCAAAAAGTCGATCAATATTCTTTTGTGCTCTCTGTATTTGTGGATGGTCAGCAGGAAGAAACTTCTCATATATACTCAATGAACGGCGATAGTATTCAAGTGCCATGCTTTGCTTGTTCTGATGTTCATAACAAAGGCCAATATTATTCAGACTCACAGCAATATAGGTATGACCTGATGGATGAAATTTCTCTCGAATTTTCAATGCTCTATGATGATAATCAAGGGCTTCACCGTACTTTCCTTGTGCACCGAGAGTATTACCAATGTTGTTTAGGCTCGTAGCCGTATCTCCATGGTCAGATGCATGAAATTTCTCTCGGATTATCAATGCTCGTTGATGATAATCGAGGGCTTCATCGTACTTTTGTTGTGTATAGAGGACATTACCAATATCATTGAGAACCCAAGCAGAATCTTTGGTTCGTGGCGGTTCACTTTTCATCATTCGATCATATGCACGATCATAATATTTTCGAGCTTCACCCCATTCACCTTTAGAGTAAGCAGCTCGCCCAAGATTAAATTCAATCCAAGCACGATCTTCATTTTCTGAATCGTTCAGCAATTGCTCAAAATATTTTTGTGATTTATCATAATCACCTAAATGATGTAATAATCTACCAAACACAATAGAAGCACTCAGCTCTTCTGTTTCTTGGCGTGTTAATTTAAGATAATCTTTTGTAATTTTGTATCCTTCATTTGAAAGATTCATCTTGATGATTTGCAATGAATCCTTTTCTTGAATCGACTCGATAAGAAAACAAGCATTCATGTCGAATAAAACTTCTTGTTCTTCTGGAAATTCACTGAATTGGCTAATGTCAGCAAAAATAATATTCTTATTAATGTGTTCAATATCACATTGGATATGAAAAAGAATAGGTACTACATCCATTCTCCTATTTGGTACTCTTGAGAAACGTACTGCTGACGATTTTCTTCGGCTCGTTGATAAATACCCGTTGGTTGAAATCAGTTTTCCTTGGTTTTGTTTCAATTTCTCAAACTCTGCTTTCCCGAGTTGAACTCCACGATAAACATTGACAATTTTTTCTTTTGATGATAAAAGTTTTTCATGTGCTTGTTGAAGATTTTTCGAAAGATCGCCAATGAAAAAACGAAACTTGTAAAGAAGATCAATATCTTCTGTTCGCAATGCTTTATTGATTAACTTGTAGACAAATGACTCTTTCGAATACCAGTTTATAGCAACTTCAGGCCGATAGGTTTCTTCGAATTCTTCGATTGCTCTCATCTCTCTTTTGTTTCCACGATAATAATCTTTGCAGATGTCGATCATTTGTTGCTTTGCTTGTTGATTTCTTGGAAGACGCGCAATGACATAATTAAACAATTGAAACCAAAGAAACGATGCAGACTCTTTGGATAAATCTTTTGTTGATTTTTCTTTTTGATCAAAAAAAGAAAATGTTTGAATTTGTTTATTCACTAAATCAACTTGCTTCTTAATTGATTGACATAAATCATCCAGATCAACATAAACACCGATGATTTTCGAGTATTCATTTAGTAAATATTCATATCGTTCTTGTTGTATACAAAAAATAAAAACTGAATCAATTTGTTGACAAGAAGAAATTCGTGATAGAAGTAGTGATGCTTTTGACCCAGATGTAATTAAGAAGATCTTTTCTTTGTTAATCGATTGAATAAATGAAACACAATGATCAAGATCAGTCATGAAAATAACAAAATCGTTGATAAGTCGAAGTTGTTGTTTCGTATTTTTTGTATCTTCATGTGATCCAATGTTAGGATCAAACCAAATAAGAGTTGTACTTTCTTTATTATCATTGTCATCTGTTCTTGAAGATAATTGACGCAATGATATACTCTCTTTTAATCTATTTTTCTTCGGTGATGCTTCTACAAGTGCTTCTACCATAATTACTTACTACGAGAAAATTTCCTCGCCGCTGCAATTGTAACTTAGAATAAAAACAAGAGATATCTAGTGTTGAAATCTCTGAATGTGTCTTTTTTGTTTTAGTTAAATAGATTATTGTTGGGTGAGTTTTATTCTGTATCTTTTTTTCTTTGCTGATAACAAAGTCTAGTTTCTTTTACCGAGTAAACAGAGTCTCTCAAGTGAAATCAAAAGACGTATCATAGAGATAAGTTGACTACGAAAACTTTTTGTAAGACACTTCTTAAATTGAATGTAACTGAGAAAAAACACGTTTCGAAATCTATTTGCAGCCGATTAAATTTTTTTTTCTTGTTGTAATCATTCTTTCAGATAATCAAAAGGGTGTGGGTGGACATTTATTCTTACCCACACCCATCGATAAAATTATTGTTGAATTTTTAATGCTCTCGGATAATAAGCGAGAACTTTATCGAACTTTCTTTGTTTTTGGAAAACATTGCCAATGGCGTTCAGGCTCGTAGCAATATTTTTATGGCCAGATGGATAAAATCCCTTCTTTATTTTCAATGCTGTTAGGTAATACTCGAGAACTTCGTCGTATTTTACTTGTTGGTAGAGAATAACGCCAATATTTTGGAGGACCAAAGAAGAATTCTTGGCTCGCGGTGGTTCAGTTTTCGCCACTCGATCATATGCACGATCATAATATTTTTCGAGCCTCATCCCATTCACCCTTGTAAGCAAGAATTCGATCAATATTATATTCGATCCAAGGATGATCTTCATTTTGCAAATCATTTAATAATTGTTCCAAAAATATTTCTGTGATTTATCGTACTCGCTCAAATCACATAATAATCTACTAAATGCAATAGAAACACTCAGTTCTTCTGTTTCTTGTCGTATGAATTAAAGATAATCTTGAGGGTGGATGTGGGCGTGGGTCCTCTCTTAAGCCACACCCACACCCACACACCCTTTTTAGTATTGAGTATACTTTTTAATGCAGTCAGTTTTATTAGTTTTAAGTCAAAATTTTCAAAATCAAAACATCAGAATACAAAATTGTATTTAGATTTTTGTGTGATCTTGAAGACATAAGTTTTTAAACAATCGAATGATACTTTTCTAACAGATTTTGCGCGTATTGCATGTTTCTATTCAGATGCCTGGCTTTTCAAAACGTACCTTGTTTTTGAAGTTCTCTACAAAAATAAAGCGTCAATATGCAGACAACATCTATCGAATTCACTACAGGATTTATTTTCAGCCACACAAAAAAAATATTTGTTTCAATATCGATTTCCATGAACTTTACGAGAAGAATTATATTAAAGTTGTCAATTTTTTCTGTTTTTCTTTATACCAACGTTTGTTTCCATGTTATCATCAAAGGATTAGACAAAGAATTGATCGGTGCAATAAAGGAATAATTTGAGCGGAAAAATGTAGTTCAGGTCAAAAATGCATTTCATCTACACAGCACGAATAATTCTACTTAAATTGCATGTGAGTCCCAAATCAGAGAATATAGAAATCAATGAGAATAAAGCTAGGCTTTGTGTGAAAAATGCTGTTGACAATTCATGGCGGGTAGCGTGCGGTGCACAACTTTTTTTGAATATACGATTATTATGTCTAACGTCGTACTACTATTTAATGGGCGGTATCTGAAAGAATGAGAATGAGGCCGGAACGAGAGGTTTTACTGTAGGCGTGACGGAATTTTTTTCGTGAGTGATCGTTTCTATTGCTAGGCTTGAACGTTGAAACTAAGGCATTTTTGATACATTATTTATGGTATATGAGGTCGTCCCTATAGAATTGGGTATTGCTATCAGCTTTTCAAATGACCGAAGTTATCATTAATTTATAAAACGCTCGTTTGCATTTTGTTATCGTGCCCGGAGATGTGATATGACTGAAAATTCATCACGTTTCAGTGGGGTGATAAGTTGTTATAGAATGGAAGACGGTACATGAAGGACTCAAGCGAGTCTGTGAACAATATTTTATGAAAGATGCTCTTCAAAAGAAAGAACGTGAAACATGAAAAAGATGGTGATGTTTGATATTTGGTAAATTTCTCTATAGTATCGTACAAGTGTTCAGGACAAATCTGACAAGGAGGAAAAGCGAAAAATCAAATATCTGTAAAACAAAATCTTGCAACTTGCAAAACTTTGAATTTCTCAATATATGAATTAAATTTTAACAAAGAGTAGAGCATTAAAAAACTCTATCGGTATCAATTCTGTTGAACATTGCTACATCCGTTCTTGGTTGTTTAATAAAAAAATTTCAATAGTGAAATTTTTGCAACAACTATCCAGCGGTATGAATATCTGCAATCATCTTCAACAATCAATGATGAACTAGTTTTTTTTCGCATTATGTGTTCGAAATACATCTATTCATTCACACCCACACCCACCCTTCGAAAAAATACATTTCCAAGTTTACAATAACAAAAAGAAAAGAAAAAGTATAAGAGAGAGGCAGAGAATAAACGTTTTTCGCTCTTTTCCCTGTTTTACTTGTTTGTTTTTTTCCAGCCATTTCTTACTCATTCATTGTACTGTTTCGTTAGAACTGTCATAATCATAGTGCTAATTCATGCTTATAATAAAAAAAGAATTATATCAAAATAAATAGTATATACTGAGTTAACTAGTTCTTATGACAATTTCTTTATTCTATTAGTAAAAACTACAGATGGCTATCGTATTTCAATCGCAAACTATGAGTTATCGACGTTCTCTAACATGTGAATTTTAGCATATATTGAATAAGTGATACTAACTGAATAGTTTAGTATTCTAGATTTGTCCATTCATACCAACTCGAAAATTCAATATTTTTCAAAACTTACTGTTTTATAGTTCGCAAAACTCTTTTCTGTACAATACGTATATATTGAATTGAGCGATGCATAGTGAAGATCTTGAATTGAAGTAAAATGGATGAAAGTCATGGTTTATACTTGAAAGTGTTCGTGTAAGATCGAAGATTCCCTGGTTAAAAATTTAAAAGAAACCTTTGTAAATACAAGAATTCTATATTTAATCGATTGTAAAACAACATTCTCTATCCTACTTTTTTCATAACATATCTCATCAACTTAAATATGTCAATTATTTTTAATTAAAAATGGATACAGATTTTATGAACTTATCAGAGCTAGTATGGTTTTCGAAAACTCCAGTTAAAAACTCTAGAAATGTCTTAGATCATAAAAAATTAGCAATTTTGATCTGTAATCAGTTTCACATATTGCCTCTCGTGGAGATATAATTTTGAGAACATAAAAATGTCAAATATCAAACATTGCTTTAAAATATATTAAATATAACGATCGTTTCATTATAGAAAATGACATTCTTTTTCATTTGAATCGCATCAAAAACAGTTAATGGTGTCACGGAACTACAATTATTTCAACAAAACCGAAATATCAATTAATAATATTTCTTGTATTGGCATGCGTGAAAAAATAGACCTTTTTATTACAAAGGATGATATTTCTTGCTTTTTTTCATCAAACACACGTAATAGTTTTTTGCTTATTATCGATTTTGTAAAGTCGCACCAAGAAAAATATTCGTCGTGCAGATCTAGTATGATGTGTTTCTTTGATAATTCGTAGCCGGCCTTCTTAATATTGTAGTATTCGATACTTTTTTCCCTTCAGAACGTGATGGCCTTCGCTCGAAGTAATGGTTTTTTTGTGATGAATAAGCAAAACAACCGTGAAATGTAAATATATGTATTCACCTGTTAGTGAAGTTAGAGTGAAAGAAAGCATCGATAAGAGGGACAGTAATTGGTATTTGGCAAATAAACAAAATACTATGGTCAACTAGATGAGTTATTTTCTGGCTTCTATTAAGGACAGGGTGTTCTTTGTTGCAGGTAACGTTCTCTGGTTATGAATAAGCCATAAAAGATGAGACCCAAATATTCAAAATGATCTGGTTGCGATTCTTCATATAAGATGAAGTCCATAAAATAACCATCACTTCTCAACAGTAGAACTGAGTGGTAAAATCTTTAGTTGTAAAAATTGGGCTGTTTTTTGTATTATGAGGGGAAATGTGTTGAAACGAGTCTATACCAAAGGTATTTTATCGCTTTCTAAGCTCTCGTGTAACATATTGTCTATCTATTTTAAAATCTTTTGAAACAAAAAATGGTGCATGAAGTCATTGCCAGTCTCTATATGTCAAGCTTTTCATACAGAAAATCTTTATGCCATGATTTTTGATTATTTAGATGGTTTCAAATCATAATATTGAATATGTATTCACTAGCGAAAACTATGCCCAACACCCTATATTTCAAGTATACAGTAGTCATAAATAGCGTTTTACATTATTTTCTAGGCTGTGTTTCTTCTATATCATGGATTAACGTCGTGGGCTCTGCTTTATGATCATAATAATGATCTCACTATTGCATGAAATTTATCAAGTTCACAGAATATCAAACGATGGTTGCTTCATCTACTTGTTGGTCTTAATTTAGCAAATTGAATGAAACTTGTTTTCATCGTCAAAAACAGAAAGCGAAAGAAAATAACAAGAAAAATAAATTATAAATATTTGCCCTGTTTTGACGATAGCAAAGTAAAATATTGTGAGCATGTTGTGCAACTTGAGTGACTGACGAGCTCCAGGTATAAATACCTGAATAAATCACTATCGAAACACATACAGTTGCCACGAGAGTAAATGGCGTAGGTAAATATCGATTCAACGTTTTTCTTTTTCATGTGAATGTGCATTCATCATTGTTTCCAATCTCATGTTGTATAAAGAAAGGCATCGATTGAGAAGTTTCACAAAATAATTCTGTGCGAAAACTATTTCAACTTCATAGCCCAAGAAATGTTTCGTATACAACATTTTGGGCTCCTATCCGCTTAAGTCACAAACATCTGTGTTCCACCGATAATTACTGATCTTGTCATTTTTTACATATGCTATATAAACAACATTTGCATGAGTCTCTGCAAAAACGGTTTAAAAAAGTGTTACTCCTTTTTTTTATCATGGCTGTTATCTACGTAAAAAGTAAATTCAGTACAGCTCTATACATGGTAAAATATTTAACTCGTATGCCTTATTTAGTGTCAATATACTAGTGCAGACATCTGATAGGTTGTCAATGAGCTTTGTCTGAACGACTTACGCTCGGTATCAGATACATTCGATAATACAAATGAATAGAAGCAGCAGTCTTAGTTGTATCAAATGATGAACCACAGTTTCGGATACTGATACATATATAATACAGTAATAAGTCATGTTATATAGAGAGTTTACCCATGTTTTCCACTATGTGGCCATGTTTTTTCATTTCACTGTTAAGATGGTTTTGTACCAGATGGAAAGAACTATCGCACGCGGTCTAACATTTTATGATATTCTCATTGCGTGACGAAAATAGACCACAATATGCCTAGATATGCAGCGACATCGTTCAGTTGTTAAATGATGCTATATTCGAAAATGTTGGTAAATATGGCTTGAACTTACGTTAGTATCAAAATACTCACGAAATTACCCTCTTTTAATTTATATTTGGTTTCATTAGATAATATGAGAGAAAATTTCATTGAACAAAAGTAGGATTTTATACATCCTCATCCTTTTTTTATAAAAAGCAAAATGGTTACCCTCCTTTCATTTTCAATTGTACATTAACTTCTGAAAACCAGAGTACTGGTGCTCATACCTCTGTTATGGGCATATAAACTAGCATGGTGATGATCAAATGCTTGTATGCAACAATTACCGCTTCAATACAAATATTTACGAATCTTTAATGTTTCCTTCGCAGTCGTTTATGTTGCTCCTGATTTAGTCTGCATCTAAGCATGGGCGTGACAGAGATACTGTGATTTTCTTCTAGTTCTTCTAGTTCTTTTTGTTTTTTATTGTATGATACTTGTGGATGATTGTTTGTGAATTCTTTGTTCATTTCAGATTCAGTTTATAATCATTTCCTCGGTCTTCATCTTGTGTCAAATTATTCCTGATTATTGGGAACGACGAGAACTAATCAATTTCATATTATATATACGTATAAATATGCATTTTTCAGATATCAAAATTTGTGTCCCAAGAAATGTCTTCAGGTATACTTTAGTGGGCGTCACAGAAGTGAAAGTCATATGTACATACAGTTTGAGTAACCATTTCACGTATTAGACGTATTATTGAGAAGCAACATTGTATTGCTGAGTGTAGAGTTGAATGCTTGGTCTTTCTCTAATATGCAAAGACTTATCTAACGCACTTTCTGAAACGTTTGTCAAACGAAAGCTATGGATTTATTGGAGTCTATTTTTTAAGAACTTATAATCGATCATATACATTTGCCAGAGAAACAATTAGTTTATCTCTTCCTCCTCGTTGTTTCTTACACAAAGGATTTCTTAAACATGTGCGCATTTTAGAGCAAGAACAAGAATCAAAGGATAACTCAGAATGTCCCAAAGTCGACGTTGACCAGATTTTTGCTGAAAATGGTGATTCGCCGGAATTGATATTGTTAGAATTATCTGAACAAGACATGATTATTGCTGCCAATAAACTACAAAATAGCGAAGTAAGCGAATAAATTTTGAATATTGAGAAGAAGAAAATATAAAATTTAACACATCTGTATGACCTACTATCTTGTAATGTCATTTTTGATACGCGTTACAGTGAATGTTTTTGAACCATGGGACTAGGATTTAGTCAACTGTTTTTAGTCAATAAGACCAATATTCTAATAAGAATCTGACAGGAAGATAACTTAGTAACTGTACGTGTTAGTTAGCATAACATAAATCACAACTAAATTCATTCTTGCCACGCAGTGAGTTTTGGCATCGGCAACACTGGAGGTATATATGCATACAAAATCTTCTTTGAATTATGACCACAATTTAAAACATTTATCTAGAATTTTAAAAGTAAGATAAAAATGCCTTCGTATTTTGAGGCTATGCGAAGATTGAATAACTTTTTATGTTCGTTTCAATTTCATTCATCAAAAACTCTTTTAAAAGCTATTTTTAACTAGTTGAAAGAAATTTTGCAGAAAAAATCCACATTAGATACAGGTCAGAAATTTAATAGGCATTGCTTTATGTTTTGTGGGCAATCAGTTGGCCAAAAATGATACTTTCCATGATAGTTCAGTATATGAAAACTCACGAAGACGAAAATACTCCACGCCTACACAAGAGTTGTTGTCCATTCAGCGCATTGTACCATTGCCAACTCCTTTGTTTCATCATTACCCAAGTGTTACCTATATGCATTTCTCGCATTTCTATATTTACTTTTTCACACAGATACTCATCGACGTCACACTCATGTCAAGTCAAATAGGCAACGACGCTGGTAAACACCTTGCTGATGCTTTTCAAAATAACAGAGTGAATCTCTTTTTCTCTTCATAATTCTCATATCTCTCTTCACTTTTTCAAACAGAAACTCAGCAAAATTAACCTGATGTACAATACAATCACGGACGAAGCGGCAAAACACCTAGCTGACGCTTTAGGAAATAACACAGTAAATTAATTTTTTCCTTCATACTTCTCATATAATTAGCTATATTACCTATCTTAATATTTTCATACAGACGCTCACCGAACTCGGTCTCTCTGGTAATACAATGAGAGATGCAGGGATGAAGCATTTGATTGACGCTTTACAAAACAATACAGTGAATCTCTTCCCATCTTTATACCTCCAACTTATGTTTTTACTTGTTCATACAGACGCTCGCCACATTCAGCTTCAGTGGCAATGAAATCGGTGCAGAAAATGTTCAATATCTGGCTGATACTTTACAAAATAACACGGTAGACCTCTTCTTCTCTTCATCTTTCTCATTCCTATCTTTCACTCTATTATGCAGACACTTAGCACACTCCAGCTCAGTGGTATGGAAATCGGAGACAAAGTGGCCCAACATCTGTTTCAAATTTTACGAAATAACAAAGTGAATCTCTTGTTTTCTTCATTATTCACATTTCCATCTTTGCTTTTCTTGTAGGCACTCACTACACTTAAACTCACAAACAGTGAATTTCAGAACGAAGGCGCTCAACATTTGGCTGACGCTCTACGAAATAACACTGTAGGTCTCCTTGTCTCTTCCTTTCTCTTATTTCTATCTTCATTTTTCCAAATAGACACTTACCAGGCTCAGCTTCGTGAGCAATACAATTGAAGACGAAGGTGTTCAGTCTCTAACCGATGCTTTGCGAAATAATACGGCAAGTCTCCTTTTCTTTTCGTTTTTCTCGTTTCTATCTTGATTTGATCACACAGACACTTGAAACACTGATAATCGGCGGTGTAGATATCGGCGATAAAGCGGCTGAAGATATAGCTAATATTATACGAAATAACACTGTAGAAGACTTTATTTCTTTATCTTTCGCATTTCCATTTTCTTGTCCTCTAACAGACACTCAGCGAACTCGATCTCTGGAAAAACGAAATCGAAAGCGAAGGACGAGCTCAAGACCTGGCTAATGCTTTACGCAATAATACAGTTAACCTTTCTCTTCATTCATATCTTTCATGTTTATCATCGTTTTTTTGTCACATAGACGCTCACAAATTTTCACCTTCGTGCCAATCGAATTGGAGTCGAAGGAGCTCAGCATGTAGTTGATGCTTTACGAAATAATAAGGTGAACAACGTTCTCTCTTCGTGCCTCTCATTTACATCTTCACCATTTCATCCAGACCCTCACCCAACTTGATCTATCGTATGATTTACTCGGAGACAAAGCGATTCAAGGTCTAGCTGATATTTTACGGAATAGCAAGGTGAACTACTTTCCTTTTTCTATCTTTATCATTTTCATGTTTACTTTTTCACACAGACTTTAACCACGCTCGACCTCTCATATAATTCGATCGTAGCCACAGGGACTCAACAACTAGCTGACGCTTTAAGACATAACACTGTAAACATTTTTCTTTGTTTATCTCTCGCATTTGTCTCGTCACTTTTTTCAAACAGGCGCTTATTGATCTCAATCTCTATGAAAATGAAATCGGAAGCGAAGGAGCCCAATATCTCGCTGATGCATTACGGGAAAACACAGTGAATATCTACCTCTTTTCATCTTTATCATATCCATTTTTGCTTTTTCATACAGACACTCAGTCAACTCTACTTATATGGATGTAAAATCGGAAATGAAGGGGCCCAATATCTTGCTGATGCTTTACAAAATAACACAGTGAATATCCTGCTCTCTTCATCTTTTGTATTTTTTCTACGTTTTTTTCTCACAGACACTCACCGCACTCTCACTCAGCAACAATGGAATCGATGAAGCCACACAACATATGATGGAAACTGCGAAGAAAAACGCCAAATTAGTGATTGACTTTTAATGGATAGTAATAGTGACGATAAACTCTTTTCAGAAGTTGAATTTTAAAGTGACTTTCAATATATCTGACTTAGAAAGAACTAGAATATTTTATTGGAGATTATATCGTTCACATAAGCAACTGATGCGGTGGAGACTGAGTTTAACTTTGAACTGATAGAAATCAGAAATCAGAAATAATTTCGAATTCTATTAAGCAAGAGCACTTGACAGTAAAATGAGGGTATGAATGCGCACGTGTGAATGTTTCCATTGTTCGTGTGTGGGGTATGAGTGTCGCAATCAAGAGATCCACACCCATACCCTTCATTAATTTTAACACGTCAAGGCAGTGAGGGCGAATGGATCAGGAAAATCAATGAATTTCTTCACAAGATATGTAGCTAAGAGAGCATTCTATCGTGAAATGAAAAAAGTTTCCTCAAAACCTTGTGGGTTCACTTATTTGCTAGATGCTCGTTAAGGACGAAATATGAGAACATCTCATATCAAAGTTCTTGTTATTTGAGAACACGACATGATCTTCGTTTTACAATATGTATTTGTCGAAGAAGATTTTACATATCATTGATTAGTCACCACTAAGCCAAGTTTAGATCATTTATAAGTGTAATAAATCCTTTTAGAATGGCATGATATTATTTGAAATTTTTTTAGGTTAGATAAATTAAAGCTTTTGAAATTCTTTATCTTATGTAGCATTCGGTTCATCTTTTCACAGAACTAATTCAATAATTAGTACATGTCTTGAGATTGCTGAAGTTTGATCAGCCAAGATAAAAGAAAAATATCTTAATAAGTGTAAGCACGTAAACTGACTACTGAAATCTTTCGTTATTGGCTATAAATATGAGAGATAGATATTAAGTGATTGATCTCAGGTTCTTTTTTCATAGAAACGCTTTCATATAAAGAGAAAATTTGTTGTAATTTATAAAAGAAGATTGACGATTCATAACAATACATATGCCTACTTATCACACCAATCATTATTTGATATTTTTATTATGCCACAAAACTTTATAAAACTAAAATCGTTGAAATAATTACTTGTAACATAGGTTTGATCTATTTTTGAACTCAAAACGATATTATCGCTTTAGACAAATAAGCTTTTTTGGTTCGCAGAAATCCAAAAATCACGTTTTCCTGAAAGAGCTATTTTCAACAAAAAAAAGCAATTGAAAAAGTCAGACATGATAGATTAGTCATTATCTATAATCAGCTGCGTTCACAGTGTTTTATATTGAAGAAAAAAAGATTCGCGCCTATCTTTTCTTGGAATATTCATTTTAATTATCTCGAAGTTAGCTCTTTTCAAAAAATTGCAGCTTCTCGAATGTCGAGATCATCAGCTCACAAAGTGACTTGTTAGATACATACGTCGAGTAAGTAAAAAAGAAAACTCGCGACGAACTACATGAACAGTGTGCTTCACACCGCATTAAAAAGTGTTACCGACAAACCGATTCCTTATTTGTTGATGGTGGCTTTTATAATAGTCATATTGTCAGATTTAATTAATCAAATTCCATGGCTCATGTTCACGGCATTTGTTTTTGCTCTTTTTAAATGAAAAGAATTTATATTGTATTTTTCAAATAAACTAAACAATGAATATCTTGAGGGTGTGAGGGTGTGGGTGCGCCTCGTCGCTATACAAACCCCCGCACCCCAATTCAGAATTCAAGTGAAATAGTGTTTTTTTGCCTAGTTAGGGTTTGTCTTGTTGTGAAGTGCAAATAATATAGGCAGTTTATTACGGGACGAAGGTCGCTTCTGTGAATTCGGTGACAACAGTGTTGTGTTTGATTCGGACTCCCTAAACCCTGATAGTTCTGAAAATTGGAGGTGACTTTCTTCGTTTTGAATTCAGTTTGAAATGGAATACCCCATAGACTCTGTATTATTGTCCTCACTCAATATTTATTTGATTTGAATTCTACACTAGATAGTATCATATTGTTCATCTTTTCTTTGCCAAGAAACAGTTTCATTTTATACTTTTCGAATACAAATACCATATGGACGCACATCTGTGTCGCTTGGACTAACCCAATAGTCTTCAGTTCCTGGCGAAACAGATTTTAATTTTACTACATTTGCAGGATTCACACGATTTTGAAAGACAACTAGATACTGCTCATTGTTATAGGTAAATCTTTTTGCGTATTTTGTCGCTAGCTGTATATCTGGAGTCGAATAGACGCCACGAGTAAATGCCAATTGTCTTTCTTGTGTTAAAGCATACCCATCCTGCGCAATTGTTTTATTATTATGAGCACTAGTTCCATGATATGAAACAGGCCATTCACCCTCACCATCATTACATCCTAGCCATTGCAAATTTTCAAATTTATCGGATACGTTGAGTGCAAATCGTTTGAACCCACAAGGACGAATATATCTCGCACCACCTCGTATAAATGTATTTTGACCATCGTTTATATTCGTAAAGTCATAATTATGTATTGGATCTAAGGTTGATGGATCCAGAATAACTGGGTTGGTATCATGTAATCTTGCTACAAGATGAAGTGTAGGTTCCAAGGGCATGCCATATTCAGACATAGTTTTACCGTCCTCTAACTGCTTTCCGCCAAATATAAGACGTTGTTTATCAGGTGATATTCCTTCCAATTCATAAATGCGTGCTTTAATTTCTTGAATCGTAGCATTTGTCTTTACTTCACATTCAATTGTTACATCACCCAGCATCTTAATAAATAATAAACATTGATTTGCCGCTGTTGAAGTAGCATGGGTGTTACCAACGCGACCATATGAATATGTTGTTTTATGATGATCAAACAGCGAAACCTTCTCTACATGATCAGAATTGGAAACATTTGTACTCAGATCTAAACCCATAATTGCTGAAAATGCAGTAGTTAGCAAGTCTGAGTCTGTTTGAAAGCGTGCAGGAAACGTCATTATTGAATAGAAAATTTTCTAAAAAAGGATCAATGTGAACTGTTTATGCAAAAGTTCGAAATATTTCTGTGTCATTGGATAAAAATGACTACAAACAATAAAACTGAAAGGTACTTGCCTGCAAATATAAATAATATGATGTGTTGGAATTTTCCAAATATTGTTGGTAGAAACCGCGTGTAGAAAAAGGAAGAGAAAAAAAAGAAAAAAAGGAAAAATTAAGCAAAGGTGAAGAGAGAAAAATGAATCACTATATCATAACATTATGTCTGAAGAATGTATTTGTTTAAAAAGAATCAACTATTACCGAAGAAAGCCATAATAAAATAAGGAGAACAAAAACTTACGCTTGCAGTAAACTCGGATCGTTTCATTTAGTTCATGAATTAATTAATCCTATTGCTGACAATAATCAGTTACATTTTATCATCGATATATTAATGATTAATTGAATAGTCGTATAGATTGATAAAAATATTTAAACCCTTCTCATGCAAATATTTTTTGCCTCGAAATGCGTCTGAAACACGTTGCATTTGCGTGCGAAACGCACAAAGGCAACGCGTCTAAACGCGTCCCCAGTGAAACAAACGAAGCGTTTAAACGCGGTTGGAGGTAAAATCTCACTCAGACGCGGCTGTTTGCAAAATCAAGGACAAACACGTTTTGAAATAAAAACGTGTCTGAACGCTTCGAATGTTTCACCAGGAACGCGTTTCGTACAATTTATGAAAAATTTTTAAAAATTACTTCAGTTCGTCTCAGGTTCGATCTGAGTCGCCATCGATATCCTCTATCACATGGTCTTTACCCTGCGTAGGCCAACGAACTGTTAGCATATCGACATGTTGATGAATATGAAATGATACAAGTGAGAAAAAAAAGAGTACACTATAGAATCGGTCAGTGTGTCCGGCCGTTTATTCGATAACTCTTCACAATTACATTCGATTGAGCTGAAATTTTATGCACAGAATTCTCTTGTCAATATCTAGGTCGAGTTCGAAGATGAAAAGGATCCGTCAAGAAATGGTTGAGTTATCGAAAAAATTGTCATTTTTGATCAGACCATCCCTGAGGGGGAGTACAGGGAGTTTTCAAAAAAAAACTTTTTTTCTCAGAATTATCCACAACATATTTAAATCGACTCAGTTTTTAACGCTGATTCTGAATTTGATATTAGTTTTGAACTAAATCGTAGCTTTCTAACGAAACATCGCCTGAAAAGCGTCTCAAAATGCACAAAAACTGCATCCAGAAATCAAATTGCCTAGTTTCTCATGATAATTTTGGTGTTCAGACATTCTAGAATGACTCATATGTCCCATGTACCTTTTGCAGTACACATAACTCTCGGATGAAATCCGAAGTTTCCACATTTATTCTTAATATAACTCTGAATGTAACTGAAATGAGAACTTACAATAATGACTGATATCAATTGAAAACAAGGATTTAGATTTATTCCTGAAACTACTTAATAATGATCATTTGAAGTCGTCACACTAATACATAAAAGGAAAAAAGAACCCAGGTCGAACATACACGGTCGTATACGACGGTAAATCGCCGTATTTGGCCGTATTACATGGCTCCGTATTACGATCGTAAATCTCCGTGCCGTATACGGCGAAATACGGCGCTTTANATCTTAGATAATTCTAATGATCACAATAGAAAAGCTATTTAGATTTTCTATGTCATAAGTTTTGTTTTTATCTCAAGGAATCGTAAAAATATATTGAAATCTAACTATAGTTTGTAATCAATTTAATATATTGAAAGGAAATTGTTTATTTTCTATCTCAAAGGTTTATTTCTCATATCAAATGTTCGTTACAATATGTTTAGGGTTCTCTATTGTTCGTGATTGAATAAAAAGATTTAACGAAAAGTGTATTGTTTAGCTCAAAATTTTATTTTTTATGTCAAAAGTTCGTGAAATTACATTGAAATGTAACTATAGTTGGTAGTTTACTTTATTGCTTAAGAAATTTTTTAATTCTCTAGCTCAAAGGTTTATTTTTCATGTCAAACGTTTGTAAAAATGTATTTAAGTCTATCAATAGTTAGTAATCGAATACGTAAATTGAAAAAGAGGTCTTTTTTTAGCTCAAAGGGTTGTTTATTTTTTAAATGATTGCAAATGTTTGTTAAAGTAAGTATATAGTTCGCGTGTTATTTTTACTCCAATCTAATAATCTGTTTAAATTTTAAATATTTCTAGGATTCTCTAAAAAGCGTACCAAATTAGATACTTCAGAAAACTCTGCATTTCACGAAACGAACCATTAACGTTATGTTTCTTATTTCTTAATCTTATATTGTGATCATTAGTTTATCTGAACTATAATTCATATAACTTACCAATTTGAATGAGCAAGTCCCATGTAAATATTTTTTGCCTCGAAATGCGTCTGAAATGCGTTGCATTTGCGTGCGAAACGCACAAAGAGAACGCGTCTAAACACGTCCCCAGTGAAACAAGCGAAGCGTTTAAACGCGGTTGTAGGTAAAATCTCATTCAGACGCGGTTGTTTGCAAAATCGAGGGCAAACGCGTTTTTATTTCAAAACGCGTCTGAATGCTTCGAATGTTTCACCAGGGACGCGTTTCATACAATTTATAAAAAATTTTAAAAAATTATTTCAGCTCGTCTCAGGTTTGATCTTAGTCGCCATCGATATCCTCTATCACATGGTCTTTACCCTACGTAGGCCAACGAACTGTTAGCATATCGACATGTTGATGAATCTGAAATGATAGTAGTGAGATTAGAACATGTGAACCAATGATTAAGAGACATGTATACGTACCGTGCAGCCATATATCACCACAATCGTTGTCGGCTGGCGCACGAAGTCTATGAGGGCTATGAATTCGTATAAAATTTACAAATATATTAATGATAGAAATGTAGAAAATGTATAATTTTTACGAAATTATTAATTATTAATATACGTATTTACTAGGAAAAATATTTTCACAAAATTAACTTTCATTTCATATTTGTTTTAATCTCAAAAATTTTATTTGACAACCTTTTCCGTTCAAGAGAGGATGTACAACAGTGCGTTTTTAAATAAAATCACCGGGCAGCACTATCGGTGTTCGACTTTTAATATCAGCTTACTTTATTTTATTAAATATATCCTCGTTATTTTTTCTTAATATAACCCTGAATGTAACTGAAATGAGAACTTACAATAATGACTGATATCAATTGACAACAAGGATTTAGATTTATTCTTGAAACTACTTAATAACGATCATTTGAAGTCGTCACACTAATACATAAAAGGAAAAAAGAACTTTCATAGCAAAGTTCAGCTAAGAAAAATCTAATATTTATTTTCCAAAAATCTAATAGTCATAGTAGCAACCTTAAATATGTTTCATTAATATGATTCAATCTTTTATCTTGGAACCACCAAAATTGAGTATGTAAAATAATAATCATGTAACGTATAAAAGCTACAAATATCAAATATATACAAATAGAATAGGATGACTACTTGATAATTTTTCTTGTCGCATGGCTCTTGAACTTGACCAAATGTACGTCTGATACTCTTACAAATCGCTCTCACGAACATACGAGGATAAAAGTGTAAAATATCAATAGATAAAAGCATTTTTATTTGAATGAATAGAGAGTAAATATATAGATTTAATAATTTAACGATACTTATGTCTGGGTTTATGTAAGATATGAATATTTTTCATCTGAATGTTTACCATAAATTCTTTTCTTAAATTTAGATGAAGGTAAAATGATACAAGCATTTATCGTTTACAGGAATTCTAAAAAAAACAAAATTTCTTCACCAATTCGACTTGATATATTTACTTATATTGCGCATCTTAAACAATCTGATGTCATTAGTCGCATGTCAACTCGATGTTTAACAAAAGTGCGCTCAAACGCGTGTTATATTATTTCGAAAATGCGTTCAAATGCATCTCATATTTCACTGCGTTAGAACGCGTTCACTCCTATTTTATTAACTTCGTATAAACGCGTTGTGCTCAAAAGCTGCGTTCAGATGCGTTACAAAAAAATTTTAATTGCGTCTCAATGCGTTTCGTGTTTACATGGGTTTTATTAGTGGGTAGAGAGAGAGAGATCTTTATGTTCGATTTCTTTTTATTTATTTCAAATCGAAAACAAATATCGCATCATACTTTAGGCTCACTACACATCTATGCACGCACACACTACTAAATTATAGAAAAACCTATCGATATATATATCGAGGGTTTGGGAAAAAATAGAAATATACGGGCTAAATAAAGAATGACCTGAGATAGTCCAGATCAAAGAAAAGAAAGAAAAACATAACAAGGGTTAGCCGCTAACACTTTTGGAATACAAACAAAATATCGAGAAAGTTGACTACTGAGAAACACCTGAGGAAAACTTTACTATAGATATGATTTTGCGTGTTTTTAACTGATTTCATGTAGAATTAGATCAAAAGAAATGTGACTTGGATATAAAAATACTGCTATGAATTAGTATTTAATATTGCGTAGGCTTATGCGACTTTTCAATATTTTCAATGAATTTCTCATTGCAAAAACAAATGGCTTCAGCCTCTCTTAGATTTATTTCAAAATAAGAATCCTTCCAGAGGAGTGTTTTGATAGTTCAGGTAAATACTATCCTATGTTTTTTAGTAGCTTCCAAATTTTCTCTTCTATTAAAAGTATACTTTTGGGCACCCAGATCGATTCGTTCCCGTCCCCGGATACTGTAGGGATCGGCCAGAAAGATGCGGAAAAATCACCGTATTCCGGAGGAAAACACGGGAAATCGCTGGAACGTGGAATCAGTGCTCTGATCTTAAAATTTTCGCACTTTTTTCCGAAGATTTACTGTCGGTTCCTGCTGGAAAGCACTGGAAGTTGATTGGAATCCACCGGAAAAAATCCGGGTATTTACGTCCGGAATACTGCTTCCACCTTCCTGTGATTTCCCGTGCTTTCCGGTAGTTTCC